AAAGGATGCAAAACTTGCTGAGGACTATAAAGGCTTTATGGAAGAAATGATCAACAAGGGGTATGCAGAAGAAGTGCCGGAAGAAGAACAGAGAAGAGCAGATGGACGAGTGTGGTACCTGCCACATCACGCAGTGTATCACCCGACAAAACCTGACAAGATACGCGTTGTCTTTGATTGCGCAGCAAGATACAATGGCGTATCACTCAACGACATGCTCCTGACTGGTCCGGATCAGACGAATTCATTGGTGGACGTGCTGCTGCGATTCAGGCTAGAACGGGTGGCGGTCACAGCCGACGTTGAAGGAATGTTTAACCAAGTGAAGGTCGATGGAGCCGATCGAGATCTCATCAGATTCCTCTGGTTTGAGAACGGAGACATCAGTGGTCGCGCTCGTCACTATCGAATGACGGTCCACTTATTTGGGGCCACAAGCTCACCCAGCGTAGCATGCTATGCTTTAAGAAAGACTGCAGCCGACGCGGGTGACGACTTCTCGCAAGAGTGCGTGACAACTGTCAATGAAAACTTCTATGTAGATGACGTGCTACGATCAGTTCCGACAGACGAAGAGGCCATCACTCTAGCAAATGAGCTAAAGGACCTGTGCAAACGGGGAGGGTTCAATCTGACTAAATTCGCATCGAACAGCCCAGCCGTGGTAGAAGCCATCGAAAACGAAGACAGATCGACTGAAATGAAGAAATGGTCTGGCCTCTGGGATGAGCTGCCGACCGAGAGGGTGCTCGGGGTGATATGGCACCCAGAACATGATCTTCTGAAGCTGTCTCCACAAATAGAGGGCGCGAAGGTGAAGACCTGCTCAAGACGCGGTTTGCTTTCTGTGGTGAGCTCGGTATATGACCCGCTAGGTATGGCTGAACCGACCGTGATACAGGGACGTCGTCTCCTGCAAGAGTTGACCCGGAAGCAGATGGACTGGGACGCTGAACTGGAAGAAGAGGACAAACTAGCTTGGAATGGCTGGCTTTCGACTCTGGAAGGCTTGGACAGTCTGAGCATCCCGCGATGCATGAAGCCTAGGGACTTTGGGAGTATCACCACTTGTCAGATACACACGTTCGTCGACGCGAGCGAGGCAGCTTACGGCGCTGTGTCATACATCAGGCTGGCGAACGCTGCCGGTGCCGTTCAGGTGAGCTTTCTGAAAGGGAAGGCACATCTGGCTCCTCTGAAAATGGTAACAATCCCACGACTCGAACTGATGGCCGCTGTGACAGGCGTGAGACTCAGTGCACTGATCCTGGGTGCATTGAAGATCCAGTTGGAGCGCTTGTCGGTTGAAGTAGAAGAGTTCTTCTGGACAGAAAGCACTACGGTGTTGAGATACATCAACAACCGCAAAGCAAGATTTCACACATTCGTTGCGAACAGGCTGGCAATCATACATGACGGCTCACACCCTGCTCAGTGGAGGCATGTGCCCAGCTCTCAAAATCCGGCGGACGATGTGTCAAGAGGAACTCAGAGTGACAGGTGGCTGACAGGGCCAGAATACCTCTGGAAAAACGAAACTCAGTGGCCAGAAACGCCTCAAGCGTTGCAAGACACGACAGATGACCTGGAGGTCAAGAAGATGACTGTGTGTGCAGCGAAGGCTTATGATGCGACTCAAGAAGATGATCTTCAAAACCCACTGCTGAAACTCACTGCACACTACAGCGACAGGCACAGGCTTCTCCGAGCAGTAGCGTGGATCTTGAAGGTGAAACAGGAGTTGATTCGTCGAAGTAAGGAGGAAGGAGTCACGACGCAAAGGAAGACGATTTTGCTGGAAACTCAAGACATCCGAGAAGCAGAGAGAGCTATTATGATGAGTATACAGTCCGCTGCGTTTCCAGAGGAGGTGGTGGCCTTGAACTCGGGCAAAGACATTCGTGCAACAAGCAAGCTCAGCAAACTTAGCCCCTTCCTTGAAGACGGCATCATCCGAGTCGGCGGAAGACTGCAACATTCAGCTCTTGAATATGATGCTAAGCATCCATTCATTCTCCCGAGTCATGCGACCTATGTGAAGCTACTTGTCGAGGACGTCCACAGACGAACAGGACATGCTGGCCGACAGCATGTTTTGGCAGAACTAAGGAAGAGGTTCTGGATTTTGAAGAGCACATCGGTTGTCAAGAGAGTGCTTAAATCGTGCTTCACCTGCAAGCGGCTACGTGCGAAAACGGAAAAACAAAAGATGGCAAATCTTCCAGGCGACAGGATCACAGCGGGGGAGCGACCGTTTACAAGAAGTTGGGTAGACTACTTTGGACCCTTCTACGTCAGCCAAGGTCGAGGACAAGTTAAGCGATATGGTGTTATTTTCACCTGCCTATCAGTGCGCTGCATACATATTGAAGTGGCTGAGGATCTGTCATCGGACTCGTTCATCTGTGCGCTGAAAAGATTTGTAGCTAGAAGAGGGAACGTTAAGACCCTGAGATAAGATCGAGCAACAAACTTTGTTGGAGCCCACAGAGAACTACGTGAAGAGCTGAAGCGGCTGGAGGAAAAGGAAGAGTGGGTGGCAAGGGAGATGCTAGCCAACGACATTGACTGGAAGTTCAACACTCCAGGAGCGTCTCATCATGGTGGAGCCTGGGAACGAATGATTAGAACAGTTAGACGGATTCTGGACACGATGCTCCACGCGAAAACAATGAAGAATGAGACGCTGCAAACGTTCCTGTGTGAAGCCGAGGCGATAGTGAACAGCCGGCCTCTGGTTTCGCCATCGAGTGACCCCCTCGATGCTCCGCCCCTCACTCCAAACGACATACTCTTACTCGGGGCCAGTTCCGGAACGACACACTTGAATGTCTTCTCTTCATCTGACAATGACAAACGGAAAATGTGGAAACAGGCGAGCTATATGGCAGATGTGTTCTGGAAGCGCTGGCGTCGAGAGTACGTTCCACTGCTCCAGCAGCGGTCCACCAGCACCGCTACGGCCAGGCAAAATCTGGCTGTGGGCGATTTGGTATTGATGGTTGACGACAGTGTGCCACGGGGCCAATGGCCCATCGGTAGGGTCGAGTCAGTCAAGATGTCAAAAGACGGCTTAGTGAGATCGGTGACTCTGAACATCAGAGGTGTTACAGTGCAGCGTCCGATTACCAAACTTGTGAAAATGTAATAAGTGCTGTGTATGAGTACTGTGTATATTGCTACACTACGTCATGTCGTAGGTACCTTGCGAATGTAAATGTTGAAAGTTCTTTCAAGGGGAGGGTGTTGAATATTCTACCGAGAGCGCTCCCGGAAATGATCACGCGAGCGAAGTGTTTCAATTGTTGTAAATATTTTGATTGAAGAAAGGTCAAGGTTTTTAGTTAGTTAGTAAGGAGGACATAAACTTCGTAACGGGGAAAATATTAAGGAAATAGCAAATGTGAAACATTAAAGAGAAATATTCATATAATGTAGGCAGTGCATATTACGATAAGGAATTGCTGGTGACCACGATTGAAACGGTAATGTTTTGCGTTAAGATACCGCCTATGAGAGTGTCACTCAAGCAATAAACCCCGTAGAAGATGTCCTTTCTTTCTCTATGACTCAAGAAGACTCCGACTACAAGAAAATATAAAGAAACTATATATTTATAATTAACAGTACCAGAAGATCCCTCCAGGGAATTAACACGCATCCTGACTCGAATTCTTACCAAGGCAGATAATAAGAGGCCCACATCATGATTCACCGTTACCCGCCCTTTAGCTTGGTTTTACTGCCCTTCAAACTGGAAAAGACAATGAAATTGATGGGAAAACAACCAGTTCACCACCTTTGGCCTCAGGCCAGGGCGTGTCCACTGGTCGAAGGAAGACATGAATGAGGTGACCTGGTCGGATGGGAAGCTGTTCGAGCTGCGATATCCGTTGAGCCGTCAAATCGGCCATGTGTGGGATGCCAGCAGCTGGAAGGTGCCGGCCGTCGCCGGCGTCAAACATCCGGCCAAAATCCAGACCTGGAGCATGTTCAGCTGCTGTGTAATATTCAAGCTGTTCATGACGACACAGAAAACCAATATCAGTGACGAGTATTACCGGCGCAACATTCTGGCTAGCGATTGGTTGGAGCCACTCAACCAGACGGCACAGGAGGGCTCGGTTTCTGAACGTGTACCGATGCCTGATTCAAGCCGTGCAGTCTTCATGCGGGGCGGCGCACCACCTTCAAGTCCCTAGCAGAATGAGAAGTGATGCCGAGAGGACCTATTTTTCTTCTGGGATAAAGGGCTATGGTTTGGAAATAGTTCCCATGCAATTCCATCGATATCTTATGGACTATTGTCCATCAGGAGATGAATGAGGGGACACCCGCCACCAGCGCCGCCCAACTGTGGGCACAGGTTAGTAAGGCGCTACTCTATATGAAACCCACTGTGCTGGAAAATCCAGCGGCTGGAATGCTCCAAAAATTTGTACCTGCGCTCTTATGAAAGGTGGCTATATAATAATTCAAAAGGCAAAATATCAGAATGTCTTGCTTCTTAATTACAGCGCGAAGAAAGATGTCCGGATAATTTCGTTACACCCTGTATTCGTTCCTACCCTCGGGCACAGAGTATATTGCCAGCAGAGGCCAGGACCGTGTGGCTTGTCGGTGACCGTGGGCCGTCGGCCGCCGGTCAGTGGTGGAGCCGGCAACAGGCCCCTATCAGTGCCCCGCCGACTATAAATAGGGCAGCCACGCCGCCGCGAACACGCCGGCGGCCGAGAGTCGCGGACGGGCAGGGGGCAAATGGGTATTTGGCGCGAGAAGAAACTGATTCACTGCCGGTGCAGTACCTACACAGTGGCAAACTGACAATACAAAACTGGTAAACTGAAGATAAAGGTTAAAAGGCACACAATGATTGAAGATATATAACAGGCACAGCATGCACAAAACATCAACACGACGGCGCTAACACAAGGACGGGATAAGAACGATCGTAAGCACCCTGCTAAGTAGCCTTATCTGGGACCCGTCTCGCGACTCACCATGCTCTGGTCCAGCTGGAAGAAGCTGAAGAGGAACGGCCGGTTGAGCAGGTTGGCGAAGCAGACGAACGCGTCCTCGGGGTCCGTGTTGAGCAGCAGGACGGCGGCGATGAACGACATGCCCTGGATGTAGCCGACGTCGGGCCGGTAGCAGGCGTACGTGCCCAGCAGCTCGTGCAGCAGGTCGTGGTACGGACCGCCCTGCACGGCAGACAGCGGCGCGGTACACATTACCGGGTGTGATGGCAGTGGCGCAGCGCACAAAGCGGTGTGTTTTGTTGTCACTCTATGAACATCTCGCTCCATCACAGACCAGCGTCCCAGCTTCCTCTACCCCAAAAGATCGTGCTATTTACAGCAGCTATTTACCCTTCAGTAACAGGCGTCCGCAGGTGACAACTAGAGGAACCACTTCTCTGGCAAACAAAAAATGGCAACATAACCACTTATCGCAATGTTTCCGCGTCTCGCACATGCTAATTATTTCAGTATCATCATGCAATTACATTTAAATTGATAACCTTTCAGTTATGCAATGATCTGATCCTGAACAATAGGGGACTTAAAGGGAATTCATAATCCCCGGAGGTTATTGCGCGCTAAGAAACGATCCGATTCGGCCGATTGCACGGCCCGACACGAACGGTTTCAGCAATATTAACTGCGTGACCTCATCACTTTTCAGGAACGTGCTACGTTTATTCGATTAATAGCGCCTTGGCGTAGCCTTTCAGGAACGTGCTCACTGCTCAGTGTTTGGGAGGTATTACGTTTGCCACACGTCATTTGACGCTGTGGTATCGCGCCATTAAAATATATGCAGGAAAACTGAACACTGTCCTCTCATTTAAAATGTAAGCAAACCATCACAGAACAGCTTTTTCGTAAATCGGTAAAAACACAAAAAGTCACTTCTCAAAGCTGTGCTATTTAGGCACTTCGAAATTATATCAGCTGCCCACAGATTAGGCATTCGGCATTCGGCCTTGGTTTGATAGCAGCATGCCTGCCAAAAGCGTGTGAATGCACTGCTGCGGAGTCCCAATCACGGAAGTCTGTCCCTCACGCCAATATTGATATCATGAGACAACCATCCCACTGTAACATTATCAATCAAAATAGCAACGAAATTCGTAAATGATAAAATATCTGAAAATGTCTCTAATGAATATGAATCACCAGCAGAGTGTTACCGGTTGCATCATCCATGGGCGGCAATCACCGCTCCATTCCGGGCCGGACCAGTAACCGTTCATGATGGGAACCAAGGACACAGGCAATGTGTTCAATTGCGCCGCAACTTTGCAGCTCTCATGACGCACCGCTGGAACTTGGTCGGCTGATTCGCCGCCGTCGGGTCGCGCGGTCCGCTCGTGGCAGCAAACTTTCAACGCCAAATTATGGGCGAGCCCACTACATAGCTGAGCGTGTGATTTACGAGTAGCTGATAGACGTCAACATGATTTACCCTTATTGCTATCGGGTCATCCAAACTCGGCTGTGTTCACAAAGATTACTCAGTGAAAATGAAAGCCAGCTGGTAATCGGACAAAATGTTCGGCCACCCGGTGTTCTCAGATAGTAAACTAGAATGAAATATACCGAATAAACTTAGACTGACAGGCCCGCTGAAAGGACGAAATAAATGCGACAGATGACAAAATAACTAACACGGAAATGCCCAAACAAGCCTGCTAATGTCAAAGTCGCCGTCACCGTTAGCAATCCAATCCTTGCCAACCCAAGACATGCCTAATGTAGTAAGAAGCCACCCCAACGGATCCCCCGCATGATTAAGTCTAGATGACACGGTAATATCAATAGGATCATGCGATCGACGGGACGTACCTTCTGGAATAGCCCCAGCTGGGGGAACGTCCTGGCCACATCCAGCCGAATCAGGTCCACCGAGCTGGTCTTGGCCTCACGCACTTCACATGGAGAGCGGGGAGCGTTCCCCTGCGCGGCCGCTCGCAGAATTGACAGCGCCCTGCGGCGGAGAGGGGGGGGGGAATAGTCACATTAGTCGCACAGGGACGTGTCACACATATCCGTCACAGGGTGGTGATTGCGTCACGAGAACGTCACTGTCTGGGAGACGCAGCTGCAGCGTATCGATAAACAGACGAGCCTTGATGAGGTCGAGACGGCCGCTCTGGGGCCCCACGTGGTCCACTCGGAGGGTCGTAACCGCTGATAGGACAAACTGTGGCTTTACTGGCGGCGTAATATGCGATCATTAAATCGAGCGACCGGCCGTCTCCAAGGGCAAGGGTAAGCGTGGGGCCCGCTAGCGCCCGACCTGAGCGCGCCCCTGCCGGGACCATATATGTTACATACATTGTTGGTGACCAATGAATAATTATCTATCGCTAATACAACTATGAGTGCTAGTGAACGGGTAATGCTTAGTGGTTAAAGTTCATCAGGACGTCACAATAAGTCACCGTGGTATCACAAGATACGCGAACATCTAGAAACTAGCCTAACAAGAGAACATTGTTTTCGCCAAATCTTACAGCGCACTCCTCACCGAGGTGAAGCAACACATCACTTATTGAGCAATGTGTTTACTTACCGTGAGTGGCATGTCGTCAGGCTGTTAACACTCGTCTACCGCTGACTGTCACCCCTCACGCCTGCCAAGCCTTCCCCTCGCTCTTTGCTGCGGCCTTACTCAATCCCCCTCCTCAGGTACTCACTCTTGGTGGTAGACCTTGTACAGCTGCGGCGTCACATGCAGATCATTGCCGAGCGCCAGCATCCAGACACGTCCGCGCACACTAGGCGGCAGGCCGTTCCACCAGAGGTCGGATACTTTCCTCGTGTGACGCACCTGCAGGTATGGAGAGCACACGTGGAGGAGACGGTCAGAGGAGCTCGCTGTTCGTACGGAGTACTGCGGGGTGTGATTTACAGAATGATTTACAAATGAGTGATTTACAAATGAGGGTGATTTACAGAAACGGTGGCGGGAATCCGGAGGTGGAGAGTTCGGACTTAAAATGATTGGATCGAGATTGGAATTCAAGAGCGTCTTCAGCTAGTCACGGGCTGCTCACAGCATGAACATCGTCCAAGGTGGAATTCACACACAATAATGCAAGCTGCAGGTTTCGCTGTAATGCTGGGAGCTCGGGCGCCATCAAGGATAAGGGAAAAGGTTAGATGACAGGCAGGTTTTCATGTTAACGACCAAATTGGAGACAACAACAGTGAAAGCAAACAGGTAGAAATGTTCCGCGGGAAAAGGTGAAGATGACTTCAACGCAATCAAGTGCATGAGTACCAACTACCATGTCCATTGTGCATTTACAATGTCTTTAGAACTGTGATGCAAATTTACTCGAAATCCATATACAGGGAGATGGAGGGGAGGAGAGGCACAGGACTGAGATAGACCACTTTACCTTTTCCCAGTTCGGAAGAATATCTTGATTCCAGATCTTTGTACTTTGAGCAAGACTGTGCTCCGTTTTGAGCTGCGCCTGTATGGCCTTTTTCCGAGATTTCGAGTCCTTCTGATCTGTAAATACAAAATTAGAACCAAAATGACGACAATCAGCTTTCCCAACGCCAAACATGCAGATTGCAGATCGTATCATTGTTGCAAATACACAGAGCAGAAAACAATGGTGGAACGGTTGACACGGGTCACCGTAGCGTAACAGTCCGCTCAGTTATCGTACGATCGAAACGCCCTACTAACTGGCGCTAACAGATTCAGCGCCCACTGGCCGCCACACAAAGGCTGCACTGCACAGTCCCACAATGACTGAAATGAACGTCAGAGACCAAAGCAAGAGGCCGGACCACATTTCTAAAAACAATACGTAGCACTTGGCCAGGTTGTCCAGCGGCTTCTCAAGGACTCTTCCAAACTTGTTTGTTAATTGGGATTTAAGGGCGCGCCGACTACCAAGACTCTTCCAAACTCAAACCCTTCCGAAATCGTCAGTTTCATTCTCGCGCCCCTCGCTTACCTCTGCGCCTGGCCTCCTCGAGCATGCGCTGGTGTTCGAGCCGATGTCGGCTCTCCTCCGCGCGGCTCTTGGCGGGCAGGTGGTGCGGCCGCGGCTCCAGGATCAGCCCCATGCTGCCGGCCTGCAGGCCAGAGTTGCGCCGCGCCGCTCGGCACGGAGAGTCGCCCGTGCTGCTCGTCAGGCTCGCCAGGCTGGTGAGGCTCGTCAGACTGGTGCAGCTCGGCGTCGGCTGAGGCGGTCGAGGTCAGACGAGGTCAGACGAGGTCAGTCAGTGGTGTTGAGGTTAAACAAGCTACTTGTCATTGGTGTCGAATCAACTATTCATTAGAGGTCTTTGACATGCACTTAAACTAGCGCGTCAGGCCAACTGAATGGCTAAATTGCACGCCTTCATTCAGCGCCAAGGTCTAGGTGGGCCAATCTAAGTGTTCAAACTCTGTACAAGCATCAATCAAAATAAACTCTAAACCAAAGGCGCAACAGGAACGGGAAATATCCGAAACACACTTCAACTGTGAAACATTTTGACTGATGTCTCAGTCGGGCCATTGCCAAATGAAATAAATCCATGTTTACTGAAGCAGCACAGCCGACGCCGTTTTACGTCAGTGCCTGGTCGACCGTTTCGCTATGTTGATGAGTGTGGTCCACCAAAGGGCACATACCAGTAAGGTGTGAGAGGCATCGCCGTCGTCCGCTTGTGATTTGTTGAATAATCTCCATCCAGGAACATTTGTTGAAAGACTGCCAGGAGATTGAGATTCTTTAGATCTCCATGAGAATAAACCCCTGAAATAGCATTGTAATTCTAAACCGAAGCACTTAATCAAATTCAAGAAATAATAAGGACAGTTGACAAAAACAATAAATATCTGTAGTATTACCAGCTGCTGTGCTTATTTGTCAGATAAGATCAGCCATCACCATTGCCTCCACCTACCGTGAGAAGAGTCCGGAGATGCCGCGTTTCTTGGCGGCCTTGTCGGCGGCTGCTGCGGCGGCGCCCTGCGCGCTGAGGTCGCGACTGGAGCCGCCGTCAGAGGCGGCCGGCCGCTCCGAGTACAGGCTGTAGTCGGTGCTGAGACTCGAGGTGCTGCTCAGGGAGCCGTCGGCGCGGCGCAGCGGCCGCGGCGCCGCCGCGCCCTGCTGCAGCGTGCTCGACGGACTCTCGCCGACGCCGCTGTCGCGCTCCTCCTCCAGGCCGGGTTTCCCGGGCGCCGGTGGCGGCGGCGCGGCCGGCGGCGGCGGCACGGCCGGCTGCAGCCGCAGCTGCCGGGTCCGCCGGTCGTACACGAGCGGCAGCGAGTCCACACACAGCCCGCTGGCCGACGGCGCCGAGCGCGACTTGTGGCAGCAGCAGGAGGGCCGGCCGCCGCCCTGCGGGGACGCCGGCGGCGCGGACAGGCCCAGCTTGGCGTAGTGTCGGCCGGGGTCGCGGCACGGGTGCATGCAGTCGGCGCCGGCGCACGTCTGGCAGCGGTGTTGGTACACCGAGCCCGGGTCGCCGGCGGCGCTCTCGTCTGTCGAGGCCTGCAGCTGGCAGCGGCACTCTGTGCCGGCCCTGCCATCTGGCCAGGTGTTGTAGTAGGTCCGGGAGGAGGGTTCTGCCTCCACAGTGACTGCATCACTGCCAACCATTGCTAGAAGCAAAGAAATCATTATCAGCTGATGAAGATAACATTGTTACAGTTTTATCATTGTTGCTATTTCAACTACCATTAAAAGTTTGCCTGAATAGAGTTAATAAGAAATGCATGGAACATAAAATGAAAAAATCAAATGATCTGATATATGACCACTTGAAAGACCTCTATGCAGAATTTCAAAAGATGAACATTGAGCAGCATATTTGAAACCAGCTTGAAATGTTTGTGCACTTTGAAATGTGAAGTGATAACTCCAACTGGAATCTTGATAGCTTTTCCATTCCTCCAGCTCTCAGATATAAGCTGCATCATTTAAATTAGGACTTTCAAAGGCATAAGTGTGTAAGGTACCTTCAATAATATGTGATTTATGGCCTTTCAACTCAGGTCAGTGCATAAGTTTGAAAGCACCTCCTTGCTGCCAGTATAGTTGTAGAATGATTGTATACACTAGTTAGGCAGTTACTTGTTCTGTTCATTTGCAGGAGGGGTAAAACTATCTGCAATATGTAACAGTTAATGATAAAGTAAACTATATTTCACACTAGAGGTAAATCAATTTATGTGTCTTGATGATGATCAGTATTTTTAAAGAAACTACAAGACAAACTGAAGTAATCTAGGGAAAGTAGCTAAGAAAGAACACTGAGCATTTGTTGGGCTAGCCCTGGGAGCACCTGGCAATCGCAACATAGGCATCATTATCATAGTATGCCAGCAGTGAATAGTCAACAAGTCGCACAAACTACAGACAGCATCTATGCAAATTATGCCCTGTCAGTTGCTATGTCCTCTCTTGGGCTCTTATCCATGAATGTAAGTTCCTGAGTAAGCACCTAGAGAGGGATGTGCTTTAATTCTGCCCAGATTCTTGACTAGCCAGTGTTGGAAAATCTTACAAGAGAAAGTGTGACAGCATCCCGATAGTTGATGGCTCTGATGGCAACGACCCCAGTCCCCAGATGCTTCAGGGCACTCAGACCCAAAATGCTATGTGGCACTCGTGGCATGGGCAGTAGGGTTTCAACAGTTCCGTGCCTACCATGACCATTGATGTCTCGGAACATATTTATTGATGGAAAAATAAATCATTGAAGAAAAACCTGTCATGAAAGTATGGCAGCCAGACATCCATAGGCTGATAATTGTAAAATCCTGGAGAGGATTTCACTTCATTCCAAATTCTCACCTTGTTGGCGAAAGTTGATTAAATCAAATCTTGTCAATCAAAACGTAAACATTTCGCCGAAACTTCTGGTAATAGCCAGGTAATTTGTCTTGATACAAAGGTCCCTTTTAATTTGCCATGCTGTCCCATAAAAACGAGAACCCAAGCACCACAGCTGTGTCCTCCTCCCAGCCCCTCCCTTCTCGCAAGGCCCTCTTCTCGTCCCACGATCACGAGCACGACGGCATTGAAGTGTCAACATCGCATATCATTTGGTAGCAGAAGTAGGCATGGATAAATTTTGATTCCAGATTAAGGAAAATATTGTTAACTCAAATAATTTACCAAATAATTAATAATGAATTCAATGCAAAAACCAATGATCAGGGAAGCAGTTGAGATATAAGATCTTAAAAATCATTCAATTGTGAGATAGATACACTGAATGAAGCACTCTTTCAGTTTAAAGCATTTTATCCCCGGGCAAAAGTAAGGATGAGAAAGGAATGCCTTCATCTCGCGCCAAAAACGAAACAGTAGCGCCATGCTATTCATGGCGCGCTGTCCTGCATAATGTTCGAAACTTGTGTAAATAGAAAGAAAATGCTGCTCACTGACGCAGCCTAGGCTACCAATTGGATAGTAGAATCGACTAGTGCTTGTTCGCCTAAGACAACAAACACAATAATTCTAAAACCGTGAGAAATTTGTTTTTTGTACCCTCTCTCAACGCTGACATGATGAAATTTGAATTTTAAGGTAGTGGGTGGGTGAGCTTTTTCCTTTTCTATCTAATTTAATTTTGTCTGGTCATGGTAGGGGCTCTTCTGTTTGGGATTATAGGAAATAATAGCTTAGTGCGTGTATTTGTTTGTTTGAAATTGAAATGACAGCTTTAAAAAAATACTTATACCGCCCTGACCCACAGGGCGTTTTGTCATCAGTAGCAAGGCCCTATATCTGGAACGGGGAAGGCACCGTGCCCCCTTTGATTTTTGTATTTAAACATTAGCCCCATGGGTGTTGCATGGAAAGAATGGGACCAAAAGTCAGCAGTGCCCTCCTTAATTGAAGGTGTCCCGCCATTTCTGCCCTATATGGTATATATCCATCAGTAGCAGACGCACTGGCAAGTGGCACGTGGCTAGTACTTTATATCTAAGGCAGTGGTACATACAAATTGTTCTTGGCATCTATCAAGCAGGCTCCTTTTTCACGCCCTGGTGCTGCAGCACTCTGCTCTGCACTGCTGTATTGGTATGGTGTCGTTTGAGATGAATTCAACTCTACGCTTCAACATTGTGAGCATCTTAATTTGTTGATGTTTCCATGAAAGCCTAATACACTGCTTTGTGTAGTGTGTTGCCAGGAAACACTGCTCAGGACATCTCTGACCACACACTTTATGCCAAGCATCCTAGGTGGTACTGGTAGTGGTCGGTGGATGGTGGTAGACACCCTGGAGCTTTTCTGATAGGGTAGAGATATTCCTATAGAGATCTTCTTGTGTGGTCTGCTGCATCCATCCAGTGGATGCAATGCTTATAGTCTTTTGTCAGTTAAACACTTAAACACGTGCAGTGGAAGGGGGCGGATTTTGCCCACCCCTCCTCTTTTTCACCAATAGGTAACTTGCACCACAAACTTAACATTAATGTGAAATTTTGACTACCTGTCCAGAATTGAATTGTGGATCTTCTCGTGGAAGAAATAAGAAAATCGGTTAATAACTTGTCTAGTAATAGCGGTGTAAAATCAAGCATCCTACCGCCGCCGCGGCGCAGCGGCCGGCGCCAGCCGTTATGTGTCGCCTGCATTGTAGACTGTGCCGGGACAGGACGGTTCCGTCTTTACATCGCGCCCCTTACCGCTGATCATATTCAATTCGCATCAAATTTCGTGAGAAAATAAAGAAATGCTCAAGCAATCTTAATTCTTATGGTCAAAGAATTTTGAAAATCGGCCGATAAAAATGTGAGTTATGAGTGTGTAAACACAAAATTGTGATTGCCGCGTTTCCCGCGTCAGCCGATCCCGCTACAGTCGGCGACATCTTACCCTTAGCAGGCTTCTAACTGGCAACTGCCATATTTATTGTTGGAATAACTAGAAATTAACCATATTTACATACTCACAAATGTATGTTTTTTTCGTTTAGTGAAAGAAAAAAGGAAATCGGTCGGTAACTTTTTGAGTTATCGGCGTGTAAACGCAAAAAAGTCGCTTATATGGCAGATTTGACCACATTTGACTTGACCTCATTTGACCGTGAAGATATTGACCTAGGGTCATGAACTACACACACAAAAGAGTTTCCCAGGGCCTTCACCTACCCTCCAAATTTCGTGTTTCTAGGTCCAGTGGGAGCTGAGATCTTGGGGGGGGGGGGGAGACATCCGCCCCCCTTCCACTGGGCGTAGTACTCGCAACCCTTCCACTGTGCGTGTGAACACTACATCACAGGCGCTAGAGAATCGAAGGATGGTCATAGAAGGCTGAGCTTAAGGATGTCCTGCTGCTTCACTGATTTCTGCCTGCACTCTCGTCCTGGGCCCTGTTTCACCGGTGATAGCAGCACGCTGCTTTTACACGTGTCAAATTGGGTTTCCATGGAAACATCAACCAACAGGCCCATTGCTCCAACACTACCGCAAGTGTGACGTCAGCTCGCGCAATTTGATAGCAGCGTGGTAGCAGCGTCCCGTGAAACACCGCCCTGTACAGGTCTGCAGATGAATCATCCAGCTGACCTGTGGGTCAGGCTTCCAGTATTAGTTCCTCTGCGCTGTAGCTTCTCGGTAGTACTGCTCCACTCCACTTCTCTTCTGTATCGCTTCCGTTGCTTGTAGCAGCTCGATAGTTAGTTAGTTAGTTAGTTTATTGACACTTGATAAAAAACATTATACATACAATGAATATGGATAAAACTCAGATGACAGGCGTGTCCACCAAAAACACATGTCATAGACTTCTATACGTACTAAAAGGTTGCTTAGAACATAACACAATAAACAAAACGTCATCGATCAAAACACTCGAACCGATCTAAAACCATGTGACAAAACCTTGCTAAATCTAAAACGTTTCCCTCCATAAGCGCTTCTAAATCCCTAAAATTCAGGTTGGGGAAACTGTCCCTAAGAGGCTCTGTTTCTGGGCAAAACAACAACACATGCCGCTCTGTCTGAACCGCGCCACACATACAAAGCCTCTCATCTGCTGGCAAGCGTGCCCACCTTCCCGTTTCAATTCTAAGCCTATGGGAGCCTAAACGAATTCGAGTAAATGCGGTACGCTCATACTCGGGAACATTTTTATCATACATTGGGTGTCTCTTGAGGTGGGGATTAAACTGACAGTATGTGACTCTTCTCGAAGATGTCGATCCACAAATCCTGGTCTGAGTACTCGCCAGACTGGCGGCTCGAAAAGACCCAGATTCATATCGCATTACAGCATCAATATACTTCCCGGCCCCTGCGCCTGCTTGTCTCGCTAAATTTAGTGCAAAGAACGCTGAGCTGGTATTAAAGTTTTCACGGGAGGTCAACTTATCGATGAATTTCCTTTGGACTTCCTTGACAATAGCGGTAGTGTCTGGATATTCTATTTCCGCCAGAACTAAGTCCGTACATGTCTGGTTGCGAACCGACAATAGCTGCTTTAGCGCTGACAATATCGGTGAAATAACTGATTTTATGTCGTTGCACAGCCAGCTTTCGCAGCCGTATAACACTGAGCTGCTGAGGGCACTTTTGAAAACTAGCTCTTTGACCGAAAAGGGAGCAGGGTTGGCATTTTTGCCGGCAAAAACTAGTTTATGCCATTTGCCGGTTTAAACCGGTTTTAACCGGCAAAAACTGGCAAAAACTGGCAAAAACTCAGAAATATCACAATGCTATGCCTAGACATGATTTTGAACAGGAAACATTTTAAGGAGAATTCGGTGAAAGCTTTATGCTTTCAAACAGAAGCGACATTGACCATTGAAATGTTTCATACCTAACTCAGAATCATTTTCATGGGCTATCCATAAGGAGCTAGTAAGATGCCTTTTGGGGGTGACAAATGAGCCAGTGCAAGGGTGACTGGGTGAGTCCTGCACAATCAGAAGTGCGAAGAGGTATCTGCCACTGATATGCGCACGGCACCGCATGGCACCCTACTTACCGTGGCCGCCTTGTCCCTGTCTCCCCTTACATGGAAAAACATTCCGTTGTGGATGTCTACCGACATGCATAGACATTTTAAGCAGGGGTAAGTAATGAGGCAACTTCAGAATGTTTAGTGCATCTATGTATATAACTACTAGAAATGCATTTGTACATTTCAAATCCATTCCTAACTAGACAAGTTGAAGGTTTGGCCATCTGAGTTTTAGCCAGTTTTTGCCAGTTCTTGCCACCAGGGTTTCTGCCAGCCGGTTTAAACCGGTTAAAACCACTGGCAAAAACCAGTTTTTGCCACCCCCTGCCAACCCTGAAAGGGAGCCTCTGCGTTTTTCTTAAGAAAAGAACTGAACTTTATCAGATGGCTCCGTTTGAAATCGATATGTGCTTTAACTTGTTTCTGAAGAGAGGCGTTCATGACAGGCGTACCGAGATAAATGTATTCATCGGTATGTTCAATGATGATATGCTGCAGACAGAACGGGTGGATATCCTTCGAGTTAACTACCATGAATTTAGATTTTTGAGGATGGATTTCCATACATATTGATTCAGCTTCTCGGTGAAGCAGTTTTAACTTGTGTTCCAAAGCCTTCCTTGACGTCGCAAGGACAACTGTGTCGTCCATGAAAAGAAGACAATGGAGGTTTTCGAGAAATCCATCTCTTCCATATCTTTTAATCGCCCTCACTGTGCTATTTATGTAGAACGTAAAAAGTGAACAGCTGTTTGTCGCCCCTTGTTTTACCCCTGCCGTTGATGCAAAAATTACATTTCCTAGGGAGTTCCTTGTGTTTTTTAGACTGTTCGCTAGAGCTGTCAGATATTTGCCACCGCATCCCTGATCAGCCAGTTTTTGCAAAAGAATATTCCTATTCAGTTTGTCGTATGCCTTGATATAATCTATGAACGCTATAAACAATGTTTGTTTGGTCCTCTGAGCATAATCGATGATTAACCTGAGAATGAACAACTGTTCGGCACAGCCTCTGCCTACTCGACCACCCGCCTGTTCGTCATCTGGTTGAAACCAGAGCTCAAAGCGATTTCTTAAAACACCATCATAAACCTTGGCTAAAGCTCCCTGGATACTAATGCCACGGTAGTTATTGGTGTCGTCCATTCTTCCTTTTTTGAAAATTGTGAATAGTTTTGCAATCGACCATTGGTCCGGATATTCCCCTTCAAAAACCATATTAAATAACTGCGCTAAAACATGTAACCATTCACCATCGAGCATTTTGAGAATTCCAGGCGGTATTCCGTCTATACCTGCAGCTTTATCTCTACGAAAACCTTTAATGACGTTGTTGATTTCCACCACACTGATGGGATCATCCAAAATTGGCATGTATGTACTCGTTTCAGGCACTCTCAGCTCTGTGTCAAGTGATGTAGGGTTTAAGAGAGTCTCGAAATGGCGGCGGAACACTTCATCGCTTGGTTTACTTTTATCGTTATCTCGGAACTCGATCTTTCCTTTCCAGTTTATCGAATTCCAAATCGCCTTTGCATCATTCTTTTTCAGCAGAAACTGCCAGCGAGATTGAGCATCGTGGGTCATCCCACCTGACTCATTGTGAGTGCGTTGGTCACTTCGTTTAGCGGTCAAGCAGGCGCTATACAGTGTGTCTGTCAGCCTCTCACAGACCCTATCTACCGTCATTGGCTGGTCTGCTTCGGTGTCGTGCAGCTGTCGCCACCAAAGAGCGGGGTCCGGGAGAGCTGCACTGAAACCTTCTCCGCTGATGGAGTTAATTGGCACCGCTTTACGCGCTACACCGTGTCCTCTCCGTTCCGGATATGTGCCTAACAGAGCTGCTCTCTCTAGCGTGGCGTCTGGGGACGGGGGAGGACGCCATAACCTCACGGACAAAGCGGACAAATACATTCATAGAGAAAGTGCTCCGGGGTCTCAAGCCCATCTTTACATAGAGGACAGATGCCCTGTTCCTTTTTGTGTTGCCTGACTATTCCTCCGGCCACCCAGGAATGTCCAGTAAGTAGTTTGATCCTGGTGGCGGTCGTCAGTCTACCTACTGTGCTGTATCTGCTGGCTGGCCAAAACTGGTCAGGGGGTTGTAGCAGTCCAGCTAGTGGCAATAGATGCTTCATCCAGTCAAGGCTGATCATGCTAGACGCTACCTTCCGGTATTCCTCTTCAGTGTGATGCTGTATAGCGTAGTTCAAAGCTTTGCTCCAACCACTTTGTTCCTGAGGAGTCGAGCCATAAATCACTTGAGTCAGCGTTGGGAGTCATAGGTCTGCTAACATTTCCTCCCATTGCCGAGCTAGGCTGCTCCGGCGATCCTCATTCACCGCACCGTGTAGCAGTATGTACCGGGTTAGCTCATGGTATCAGAGGGCTGCTCTGGCCTTGCCCTTCACCTAGTGCTGGGGTGCGCGGTGGCACAGCGTCAATTTAATTCTCACATTTGTGTGAAAACTCCCCATTTACCACCACCTCCTGGGTAGGAGCTGGCTGAGGATTGTGATCAATGTTCTCTAAGTCCTGAGCTCTGTTCGCACCCCGTTTATTTATTAGCAGGCTGCGACCATGCTGCTACTTCTTGGCTCTTCATTGGTCGAATTCAAGTGGTCTATTCGTTAGACCAATGAGAGGCCAAGCCGCGCCAGCAATAACTTCCTTATATGGGGAAAACCGACAGCACGCTGATATAAAAACAGCGACTGAACAGGGCCCTGATTTGATTGTGATCGTCTTGTTACAGATTTCAAACATGACAGACCCAACTCCAAGAAAACCAGATACTAAAGGTGGGAAATGAAAAACTAGGCTCAACCAAATTGAATTTTCTTCTAGCTTAGCTAGCCATTTCAATTTGTCTTTTTGTCGGGTAGCAATATTATAAAAGTATTTTAACTTTTTCTCATAGCAAATATCCTGACAATTGTATGGTTTCACTTTGTGGTAGTTTGGTTCTCCTTTATTTTTTATAAAGCAATAAAGTAATTAAAATGCATTTATGTTCTACTGATCATGTAAAAAAAAAATTGTGGGTAATCCCTGTGTTATATTTATTACGAACAGCTTAACTTAATGTGGCTTTGTTATGTTGAAGCATTAATAAATGCTACAGTGTCAGCTGATAATTTCAAGCATGTCATGTTTATGTCTGGTTTGACATTTTTCAGACGGTGTGTATTTTGACGACCCAGAACTCCCAGAGGGCTGGACCAGGAAATGTGTACAGAGGTCTACTGGCCAGTCAGCAGGAAAATGGGACGTCTACATCTACAAGTGAGTCCTAATGGTGGTATGGGGAAAATGACACTTCATTTCATGACCTCTGCTAATATGATCGCTGACCGAACCTTATTGTCACTGAAGTGCTTTCTTGTTTTTGTTTTCTAGATCTGTCTAGCATTGCTTACTGCTTGTCGCTATGTGGCCAAACGAGCAAGAGGTTGTGCTTGCGTAAAAACGTCGCCTCCTTGATATGTTATGGTTGGACCACCACCATTGCCTGGATTATTTTCATTATTCACCAGCCAGCCACACAACATAGCCCGTGCCTGGTTCACCGGTAAATTTTACGGAGGTACAGCCCACCGCTAAAGTAATGTAGGGTTTTACCAATCTGAACGGTTGGCTTTGACTGGCGATTGTTTAATGCGGAGTGATCGAAAAGAAGATGTCAATAGCTAAAGTTGCAGCTGCAAGGGTGACGATACATATAAGATACATTCAAAGTTTCACTGTAGTCTGGCTAATCGTTCCTAAGCTTCAGAAGCAGAACATACCCATGACTGAAACCCCACATTACTTCTGCTGTGGACTGTACCTATTTATTACGTTACATGGAACGCGGATACATTGAACACGGTCCTTTTGACCCCAGCCTGGCACTTTCGCCAGCTGTCATTTGCTGGAGTGACATCACGGGCCAAACAGTCGCTCTCTTCTGGCCTCTAACTCAGCGCCATCGGGTCCCCAGTCGGACATGTTATTTACTAGGGCATGCTTTCACTTGGGCTCTCGGTGAAAAAGCCCAGATTTGAGTCGCTCCGGCGCTCGTCTTGTGAGAATCTTAGGTGGTACGCATTTGGTTGGAGCAATGGCGGCTAGCTGAAGGAAGTTGAGTTGGACGGACCATGTCTGACTGGGATAGGCACATTAAAATTTGGATAGGTATCCAAGTTCTCCCAATTCAACCCAGAATGGCCCTATCAGAGCGTGGGGGGACATGCGCATTGCGCAACATTATCTGCTTAGTGTGGGCTCCCCCTCTGTTCGTCCGTCTCTTAAAACATTTGAGCTCGCTTTATTTTTCAAATGAATGCTAACGACATTTGCCACTACGCGGTTTACAAAGCTGTTAGCTGCGGACCTAGAAAAGTTATAATGCTGCGTCTTTTTGCGTCTCATCGTTTATGACATAATGGTTCACATTTCTCGCGAACAGCCCGATGGGTCGCAAGTTCCGGTCGCAGAATGAAGTTCGGCGCTACCTGGGCGAGATCAACAGCGAGCTATGTCCGGACCTGTTCTGCTTCAACCCGTACGCCCAGGCCGGCACGCCCAGCTCGCGCAAACCGGGCTCCAAGTCGGGCGCCTCCAGTGTCAAAAAGCTGACCAACAAGGCCGTCAAAGCCATGCGGGCCAAGTCTCTGGGTGGCGCCGGGGACGCCAGCAGCACCAAGCTGAAGCTCAAGTTTGACTTCTCGAAGCGCATGGGCCGCCCTCCGTCTGCGGGGAAGCCGGGCCGGCCAGCGGGGAAGCCTGGAAGACCGCCGTCTGCGAGCAAGTCGGGCCAGCCCTCGTCCTCGGGACACATGGGAAGACCGGGATCCAGTGGCAAGCCGGGTAGACCTGCCTCCGCTGGTAAGCCCGGCCGGCCGCTCTCCTCCGGCAAGCCGGGCCGTCCGCCGGGCCGTCCGGCCGGCAGCGGCTCCAGCCTGGCCTCGCCGCCGCTGAGGACGCCCGCGTCCAAATTCAGCCCATCGACCACGCCGCGCGTAGCCATGCCGGCCGTTAGCAAAGGTGAGTGCGACACCGGGTCGGGTTTTTTGGTTTGCTGTTTGTTGCCCCTGACTTTGAAAGTGCCCAGTTAATTGGCCGAGGGCTGGTGCTGAGTGGCACAACGGTTGAGCACGGATTATGGAGAGGATTTGATGGAAGATGACCAACTTGGCTTTTACGTACCTAAATGCTTTTTGCTGATCTCGTTTATACAAGTTTGGTAGCACAAATATGGTTTTTCCGTGCCGTCTCCTTGTTGATCGATCATCTGGGCATCTGGGCCCTTTTCCAGTTGGGACTGTAATGACTTGTTTATGGTTGCCCTGCAGTCTGCACCCATGTTGAATATGGCTATAACGTGTAACGTATCCCGTTTTATCGTCCGTCAGGACCGGGAGCGCCCAAGAAGCGTCCGTGGACGCCGCCAGAGTCTCCGTATGACCTGGTGCAGGAGCGCTACTACCAGGACCCATGGAAACTGCTCATCGCGTCAATCTTCCTCAGCAAACCGCCAGGTCAGAACTCATCAGATCGGTGTCAACATGAGGTATAAAGATGTGTATTTTTATATATAACATTTCAAACTGAAAGGATTTTGTCTTTCAGGGACCATATAGCTCTGCGGTACTTATTTTTTTATTTGCCTCGACAGTTCACACTTCACGTCGGCCATTTAAGAGTGTGTTGGAGCACGGCATGTGAAGCGTGCACAGTACATGCTGCCCTGAGTTCAGGAAACGATCGAATCGCATTAGGTGATATTGTTTGGCGCTTGTCCATCGAGTGATTCTGGCCTGAAGTGGCCTGACGCGTGATCGTCTGTCCCCGTACAGAGACCTCCCCGGAGGACGTGTGGGGCGACCCGCCGCCCGTGCTCGAGGCCCGGCGCGCCCGGCCGCTGCTCGAACAGTTCTTCGAGCGCTGGCCGACGGCCAAGGCGGCGCGCGACGCCTCCGCCGCGGAGATCGCGTCCCTGATCGAGCCTCTGCAGCTGGGAGAGCACGCGGCGGATCTCATCATTCGCTTCTCAGGTCAGTCATTCACTGCAGTGTGGTCAGCCTGGAATGGTGTCGCAGCGGTATTCAGCTTGGCTCGACGGCATTGTATTTGGATTCAGACGAGCTGAGAAAATTACGGCTTTTAAAACCGTTCTTGAAGATGGTTTGTTTCAGTTACAAATACAAAATTCATTTTTGTATTTGAGTACTATCCGATTTCCTGAAATTAACTTGCCAGTAGTTGTTTCGTAAGCTTCAGGTGATTTACAAATAATGTCTTTGGATAATGGCTGACAGGATCATGCACGGCTGCACGAAGCATTTGATTTGATCGACCTTTTCCTGCACATTTGTTTGACTTTCAGCAAATCTCGGCTTATGTTAAATCATGCATTTGACTGGAATCGGTTCCTGTCGTTGGTTTGGAATGAAAATTAATTGCACTGCCCAGCCTTCTAAGCTTGAGCTCCATTTATGTCATTTTTACGTGCTATTTTGTTGCATTTCTGAGTCGATGCTTGTTCTATTTGCCGTTGCAGATGAGTTCCTGACCAAGAAGTGGAAGTCTCCCACGGAGCTGTACGGCATCGGACGGTACGGCAGCGACGCCTACCGGATATTCTGTCTGGGCCAGTGGAAGCAGGTGCGTCCGCTCGACCACATGCTCAGCCTGTACCACAACTGGCTCTGGACCAACTACAAGGCGCTGCGGCTCGAGTGAGCGCCGCGCCGCCGTCCGACCGGCCCACGGCCTTTTACTGGGATGATTTACCGGATCTACGTCCGGCGCTGTGCGCGCGCTGATTATGTCCTATTGGAGGCTGGCGGCTGATCTCGGGCTGCGGCAACTCACCAGCCATTGTCATCGCGGAGGCGACTGAGTCGCCTGCTGAACGTCAGTCGGTGACGTACATGATCATACTCCACTGTTTCGCGCTGCACGAGAAATACATTACATCTAAGTTACTGGTGTCAATGACAGCTGAAAACTGAGATATGATCGATGAGCTGAGCGGTAAGGCTGGGATTACAATTAGCAAGTATGAGCTAGCGTAGTCACTGAAATGTTCCACTCCAGTTTCTAAATAAAAAAAAAAAAAAATGGTAGAAAAGGATTGAAAATAGTTGCACTGCGGATGCTTTGTTATCTTAGTTGGCTTTCACTGGATTATTGGCGAGCGCGACCGCGCGACATGACCTTCGTAGTCGGCGCGCCCTATAACCCCAATATACAAATAAACAAGATCACTGAATTATTATTTTTTTTGCCTATTGTGCGGATAAGAACCTTAAAGTGCAAAGTACAACAGAGTTATTGCTACAGCTTATATCCCAATGTTTGCCTGCCGGATGGACAAAATTGCGATCAATGCTGCCTTTGCATCAGTGAGCAAGCACTTCTGTAACGGTAATGAAAAGCTGGCCTGGCTCACATAAAGTTCGCCAGAAGGTACGTACGCATGGGCGAAGATCCGTATTTGTGCATTCATGAAAACCTATTGGTTGAAACTGTGGGTATTTTGCTTATAAGTGATCTTTTGATAATGCAACATAATTTTATTTGCATGCATGTTAGACGTAGCGATAGAATGCCGCGTGTCGACTGTCGATGTCGTTTCGATGTAAATTCACCCTATTTTATTTTGGTAGCATCTTCTTTTGTAAGAACGAATCGAAAGCGTCGTATCTGTCTCGTGACATATCAACAAACATTTCAATGCATTATTTTATTCAGGCCCATGTCGTCCCCTATCTCCCTGTGTGTCCAGGTGCACAGATGACGTCACACGAAGGGGCGGAGTCGGGGGTGGAGCCTGGCGCAACGGCCGCCATATTTGAATTTGTTTTATTAGAATGTAATCTACATTTTGGGTTTCAGTCAATTGTTATCGATAGTTTTATGAACGGTTAGCTGTAATATAAGTGATTTATCAAGAAAAAACACATATTCTGCTTGCAATTTCGATTTAAGTACGACCCGCGCCTAGATTCGAACGCACGATCTTTGGATTACGGCGCAAGCATCCTAACCACTACACTACCGCGGCGGCGCGGCGGCCGGCGGAAGGGAGGCTGCCGAGGCATGGGGGCTTTTTTACGCATTTTCGGAAAAACTAATGGGTTTAGTGAAAAACGCTTCCTAGATAATTCGAAGAAAAATGTCTCGGCTTTCCGATGATGCACTTAGTTTTGTGCTAGCTTTAGCAGAGTTTGCTCTACAGAGCTTTAAAAATCGCCCATTTGCATAGGACTTAAACGGGACTTTAAGACTTGCCCCCAGATGACGTCACGAGCTGACGTCACGATCAGGTAGAATCGCCGGACGACCCTACCTGGTATATAGGGCCTTGATTTTATTCGCGCACAGCATAGGATGAGGACAGGTCGTCGTGATCTGACATTAAATAGCGGTGCATTTTCCTTTAGGATAAATGCATATTGATGTCCCCATATATTGAGCAATAATGGGCGCTGGTGCGAGTGATCTCAAGAGCATCCAAGACAGCCCGGAGCTTCGGAAATTTGTTGGTGAAGATCTCATCGCTCCGAATGACCCATTTTGGAATCAGTTGCTTGGATTCAAACTTGCAAGGAAATTAACGAGGTAAGTCACTTTGAATATTGGATTAAGATTCTTGTGTATAATTTGATTGTGTGATCGTTCCCTACTCAGAGCTTATTTCAATCCAGACTGCAAGACACGGCATGCTTCAACAAGATCTCCGTAGTGCATGGCCAGTCTGCAAAATATGGTAATTACAAAGAGATCTCGTCTGTGCGGGCTTGCTCGGCTGGTGCGGATTTGGTGAGGTGTGTTGCAGCTTTGGCTTGGTGTGGTGCGGATTTAGTGTAGGTACCTAGCAAATCCGCAGTGCTGTAAATGCTGAATAAATGTAAATGCTAAATGCAAATGGTAGTGCTGTGTGGAATTGGCTTAGTGATTGACATGGCAGATCAGAGCAGATAAATGAGGAAAATAAAAAAACATTGTTGGAGCTTTGACATGTACCTAATTCAGTATCCTCTCGGGTCTTAATGAGTGTGCGGTCATCAGAACGGACTATGCCAGTGCTGAGGGGTGTTGACGGGCACCGCAAACTGCTGAGTGCTGTGTGTGCGGTGTGTGCAGCAGGTGTGGGGTAGGGGATGGGTAGGCGGTTCTGACGTCAGGGCTGCATGCGGTGGACGGTTGCTGTGGCCAGTCCCTACCGGCCACAGCGGTCGCTGTGTGCGGTGACGGAAGGCTGACGTAGGGACGCAGTGGGTGGAATTTGGAGGCTGTGTACGGTCTGACCGCACACAGGGCCCGTGAACAGCCCTCTGGTTGTCCCATCAATCACGTGGGTCGCCCCGAAGTTCGCACTGTTATGTACAACACGAAAAGCACCGCTCGGCTTAGCGAGCCGCGTGGTGCCAGCGGTAGACTGAGAGGGATGAGTAGAGCATGGCCGATGTGAGGGATTCGAGAAGTGCGTGGCCGATGTGAGGGCTAGAAGATCACCGCTTTACCGCTTCAAACAGTCAGATGCGAACGATTTATCGGGTATGCTCGACGCAGCTAATAAGTTGCGCCGAAAGAATCTGAGTTTGTTGCATTCTGCACTTTGCGGCATTCATAATCAAGAATGCTCTCGATAATGTGAGGTTTAGCGTTATCGCTCGGTGGTACGGCGAGATGCGTATGGCTGATGGCGGGCCTTGAGGCGTGAGGGCCGCCACTTTGCCGCGGCAAAGTACAAAGTACCTAACCAAATCCGCCGTGAATGACTTGCCTACCAGATTTGTTGTTCGATGCAGCTAATGATGATGACGAGAGATGCCGAAAATGCATGCATGCGATGGCCCACATTTTGCCATTCATGTTTTTATTTCTTAACTGGAACCTTCACAGATTGTCAAGCCGTTTAGCTAAATGGCAGTATCGACACCATTGGGGTAACCATGGTAGGCACATCACACAATAATTACCCTGGATAAATCGCAACAGGCAGGTACCTACTGGATGTGGTTCTTCTATTGGCGTACTTTGCAGTATGGGTGCGTGGGTCCTCCCTTTACTACAACAAGCCTTCCTCAGGCATGCATTGCAAATCTCAGGTGTGCAAGGCATGGCCCAGGCGCGCAGGCATGCAGTAACGAATTAGGACATTCTTTGACATGCCATTAGAGCTCTCCCTCGCAGCTTGCTAATGAAACAAACATTGATTGATGTGCGACGGACATCCACGCAACTATCACACATTTGTGAGAGCGCCCAGAACTGTTCATTGGGATTAAACGTGCAAGTGTGACAGAATGATTCTGGCGTTTTCACTGTGGCTGGCATATACAGGAGACAGGCGGAGGGTAGTAAAGTAATCTTGGGCGGAGGAACCTTTGTTGGATGGCGGACATATTCTGATGATGTGTTCGGTCGGACTCGGACTGTGCAGTGTGTCGTGAGGCGGACACACGAAGTACATGCTGCTTCGGTGCCCGAGCCTCGCTGGTCAAGCTTCTGCAGCTTAGGATCTGTTGGAGCCGCTATATGACAGTGGCTGTGGGCCACCGAGGATGATAACAACAGCCAGAATGTTCTTTTCTGAACACACCGATGCCGACTCTGCATGTAGAAAGCCGGCTGACCTAGAATGGTAACTGGTGCCAATGTAGGTTGCCAGTTAAGGTCAAGAGACTACCATATTCTGAGGTCAGATTTCGGTTAGACATTGGATAAGATGTCAGTAGTATTCAATGGGTTTGCTCATCTGGTGATACACTTTACAGGGACATAAATATTGCGTTCAGACACCCTGCACTATCTACATTTGACTCACATCTGCATTTGTCTAACTGATACTGTATTGGTTCCAGAAACGATGACAAGAATCTGGAAAGCAGCTTGCAAGACCTCTTCAACACATTTCTGACGAATAATCCCAAGACAGGAAATTTTGCTGCCCTGATAAAGATATTCTCGTTGAAAGTAACCGATTTGAAGTCATCTTTGGCCCTGAAATGGTGAGTTTTGTTACTTGCAGACTGCATTGTCTACTGTCCAATGTGTCCATACATATTCTCACATCGACAGAAATTCTCTTCGAGAATGTCTATCGCCTAGCTGCGAATCGATTGTACTTGGTGATGGTGTGCTTTGAGGAAGTGTTCGTACTTCCCGTACCCGCGATCTCGCAGTATTCAGATATGTCTCGTTAATCACTCACTGACCATGCCCCCGGTCCCGCAGCGACGACCTGCGCCGGGAGACGCTGGCAGCTGCGCAGCTGGTCCGCCAGCTGTGCCAGCGGCTGGTCTCCTGTTCGGACGAGGAGCAGCTGGTGCGCCAGTGTCGCGCGCTGCCGCTGCCCGACGGGGTACCGCCGCCGGCCGGCTCCGACCCGCTGCTACTGCTCATTGGCACACTGACCGACATGACCATCACACTGCCGCTACAGTCAGTATAGATGCACATGGGTATTGGGTAGCATCTCCATTGACCATCACACTGCCACTACAGTCAGCATCTACATACTGGGAGACGTTTGTAAATAATCAGACATGATTCAGTTTTATTCACGATCGATGGCAACACAATCGGAATAGGAATTTGACTTGTGTTGCCATCGATCGTGAATAAAACTGAATACTGGGAGACGTGTCGATTGGTCATTGTCCATTGACCATCTCACTGCCGCTACAGTCAGTCCATAATGGGTGGCAGGAATTGTTCATTGACCACCACACTGGCTTTAGTCAATATAGATGGAGATGGACGTGGGTAGGGTGCCATTGACTATCGAACTGTGCGTGTATTCCAGTCCTTTTATTGGCACACAGACGAGAGAGACCTGCCGCCGGCGGCGCCGTGGGTTTTTAGATGAACGCGTGGAAAATTTATTTTACGGATCAATAGCTTGGTCATCCTGCTTGGGCTTTCTGATGGTTGACGTTTTTGTTTTGGTCTGCTGACGTTAAAAATATGCTGATTGACTGCAGGGAGGATACGTATTTCATTCACCTGGAGGCTCTGAACACCCTGCTGATTCTACTTGGCTGTCAAATGTACACTACCAAACCAGCTCATGAGCTGCCCGTCTACAGGTAAGCCACCTGGTACTATCAGACATAGTTTCTGCTACTGTCATGGCGCTTGTCGGACTATGCTGTGGCCACGGCTCGCATCAGACTGCATAACAGACAGTATATTGAGGATTAGCAGCCTGTACAATGTGTACTAGGGTGTCCCAAATTTCACGAAATTTTCCAATTCACTTAGGATACACCGGGATCCCGTTCCTTGGTTCATTTGAACCTCACACACCAATTTATAGAGTAAACTACCGGTAAACAAGGTTGCCGCTAGTGCTCTGAAGTTTTATTTGCATTTTGGTGTTATATGATAGTGCAGCGTTGTAGTCTCCGAATGCAAAATGGGAAATATATGTAAGCAACGTAGCAATATTACCTTCTTCGATGCTCAGTGATGCTCAGATCCCACGCACATTGCACAATGATGAAAATCCGGGTTTATGTACGCATACATACGTGTGAAACTGTGTGTGTGCGTGCCCGTATGCCTCTGTGCGTGTGTGTATATGTGTGTTTGTGTGTGTGCGCGCGCGACTGCGTGCGTGCCTACCGGATAGAAGGCAATGCCAGTTTTAATCTTGGTGTGGGTGATTTCATGTGCCGCTGATTTCGTTTGGGAGTAAGCGATCAAATAAAGGTCTCAGGTAAGTGCTTCAAATGTCTCGCTTCAGATCGAACCGTCTGCGGCAATGGCACACCAAATAAACGCAGATTGAACAGAATCAAATTTACATTGCAGCTATGGGTATTAAGTTCACCGTACCCTGTCCTGAGACCGTCCACGCGTAACAGCACCGTACCCTGCTCCGATATCCGTCTAAACAAACATCATGCCTTGCTCTGAAAACCGTCTGAAACATCGTACCCTATTCTGAGCTGCTTCTAAAACATCGTACCCCATTCTGAGATCCGTCAAACATCGTACACTGCTCTGAGGTCCAGTTACACTCAACAGTCTACACGTAACGTCATCGCACCCTGTTTAATATCTGTCTACCACTACAGACCCATGTAACGTCCTACTTCGTGTGACCGTAAAGCGACCTGTGCCATGCCACCACCTGGGCCAGCGCCTGCAGCTGGTCCTCATCTTTCGTTCTGTCCATCATCTCCTGTGCCAGCTTCACTCCGCGATCCGCTCCATCATTCACAGCTGCCTGGCTGTTGACGTATTTGTGAACTGCGTTGTAACCTGAGATACTTTTCCATTTTTGACAGGCTCTTGCAACCATTCGAGGGCGCACTCATCCATATTATGGATGATTGCCTATGATTCTCATAGCCGGGTGCCCGGTGCAACCATTCGAGGGCGCACTCATCCAGATTCTGGATTAGTGCGCCCTCGAATGGTTGCAAAAACCTGTCAAAAAATGCAAAAGTATCTCAGGTTACAACGCAGTTCACAAATGCGTCAACAGCCTGGCAGTTGTGAATGATGGAGCGGATCGCGGAGTGAAGCTGGCACAGGAGATGATGGACAGAACGAAAGATGAGGACCAGCTGCAGGCGCTGGCCCACGTGGTGGCATGGCACAGGTCGCTTTACGGTCACACGAAGAAGGACCACGTGGGTCTGTAGTGGTAGACAGATATTATAGCAAGGTGCGATGACGTTATGTGTAGACTGTAAAGTGTAGATGGGCCTTAGAACAGTGTAAGATGTTTTAGACGGACCTCAGAGCAGTATACGATGTTTAGGACGGATCTCAGAATAGGATACGATGTTTTAGACGAATCTCAGAGCAGGGTACGATATTTTAGACGGATCTCATAGCCAGGCACGATGCTGTTGACGGATCTCAGAGCAGTGTATGATGTTTAAGACGGATCTCAGAACGGGGTACGATGTTTTAGACGCATCTCAGAATAGGGTACGATGTTTCAGACGGTTTTCAGAGCAAGGCATAATGTTTGTTTAGACGGATCTCGGAGCAGGGTACGGTGATGTTACGCGTGGACGGTCTCAGGACAGGGTACCGTAAAGTTAATACCTATAGCTGCAATGTAAATTTGATTCTGTTCAATCTGCGTTTATGTGGTGTGCCATTGCCGCAGACGGTTCGATCTGAAGCGAGATATTTGAAGCACTAACCTGAGACCTTTATTTGATCGCTTACTCCCAAACGAAACCAGCGGCACATGAAATCACCCACACCAAGATTAAAACTGGCATTGCCTTCTATCCGGTAGGCACGCACACAGTCGCGCGCGCACACACACAAACACACATATACACACACACAGAGGCATACGGGCACGCACACACACAGTTTCACACGTATGTATGCGTACATAAAACCGGATTTTCATCATTGTGCAATGTGCGTGGGATCTGAGCATCACTGAGCATCGAAGAAGGTAATATTGCTACGCTGCTTACACATATTTCCCATTTTGCACTCGGAGACTACAACGCTGCACTATCATATAACACCAAAATGCAAATAAAACTTCAGAGCACTAGCGGCAACCTTGTTTACCGGTAGTTTACTCTATAAATTGGTGTGTGAGGTTCAAATGAACCAAGGAACGGGATCCCGGTGTATCCTAAGTGAATTGGAAAACTTCGTGAAATTTGGGACACCCTAATGTGTACCCAACTCTTGTCTGTGCCCGCCAATCGTCAGGCTCCTGCTGTCGGCCCAGCCGGCCGCCGACGCGGGCCCCTTCGTCAAGACCCTGCTGCGGCGTGTGTCGGCTAGAGACCGGGCCCCGGACTGGTCGGTCGCAGACGGCGCGGACGGCGGCGGCAGCTTCACACTGGGACTCGCTGGTGAGTGGTGTTCGAAAATTTTGTGTCGACTTTTCGTTATAACTGTCAATGGTTCTTTGCAAGTCGTCGCTAGTTATCCTTACATAGCTCCTTAGAGGTTTTTTTTTCTTCATTAATGTTATGCCATGTTGAGAACCTCCGGTGTTCGACTGCGAGCCGACGGAAACTAGCAGGGCTTTGAGAGCCGTGTGTGCCCCGACAGGCGGTCTGTGGAGCGCGCTGACGCTCGGCTACAGCAGCCTCACGGCCGGCGGCGCCGAGGAGACCGCCGACCACTGGCCGCCGGTAGCCGCTCAGAGTCTGCTGCTGCTGCTGGTGCTGGGAAACCACTGCACGGACCGGCGCAGCCCGCTCGACAACCCGCACCGCAGAGCCATGTTCGAGATGGCCAACTTTCACGGTCAGTGGCGGTGGCCGGGGTACTCCCTCCTCACAGCCACATACACGATATCCCCATGACGCTATTATTTAAGTGTACGTATTTACGAAATAAGCTGGACGAGTTGCGACGAGACTGCTCTTTAAGATCTTGGATTGATGGAAGATGGCGCCTTGAGCGCAGTCGGCTCTATTTACCGTACCTGAATCTTGAATCTGCGTGCTGACCGCCCCCCCCCCCCCTCGGGCTCCTGCGTAGACCCTGCGGAGCCGCAGCTGATGGTGCGGCCCCACTCGTTCCGGGTCGACTTTGGCCGGCTGCTGAACGCGCTCTGTGACCTGCCGCCGAGCGAGCCGGCCTCTCTGCTGCTCTATCTGCTGCTGCACAAGAGCGCCGCCTTCCGCACCTACGTGCTGTCGAGGACAGACGTTGATACGCCGGTCAGTGGTGCTGTCTGGTGGTGGCGCTGTGGTGGGACGGATATTGTGGGCTGTAGTACCGATAGAGGAATCTAGCAATACAACCGTTTTGTAAACGCATTTGGGCTCAGCTTCGAGCTACTGGCACTTTTTAAAGGAATTTTTAAGGAATTTTAGTAAATATAGTGGCTTAAAAAATGGACGTAGGTAGAGCTTATGGCTAAAGTATTGAATCGGAAATATCGGACAACGCACGCATACAACCGTGTTTTACTGTTGTGGGTACAAAAAGAATCACTTGCATTCTTCATACACTGAGTTGTTTCGTCACCGACTCAAGCTGGGGCCAGGGCAGTCACAATGTCCTTGCATATGCCTATGTATGGTTAACTGTGCACTGCCTGCTGTTTGCTTAAGCACTCCATCATGCCGCTTCCCTTCCACAGGTAATGCCGACACTACTGACGCTGTACCGTGTGGCCGACAACAGCAGCAGCAGCCACCAGCTGTACATGTCGCTGATCGTGCTGCTCATCCTCACCGAGGACCCGCTCTTCAACCGGAGCGTGCACGACACGGTGGGTTGGATGACCCGGCCCGAGGCGATGCTGGGGATTCGTTGATCTGGCCCGGTGGCTAGTTGGGGATGCAGGTTATATTTGTTACCTACCTTTGTTACCATGTGTCGTGAGGCACCCGAACTTACCGGTTTGTGTATTTTGCGGCACCAGTGTTCTTATTATCATTTCCTTTTGACGTCTTTCTTGAATCGGGTCCCATGATTCCGAGCAGTGTATTTCTGTCGACGTCAGCAGAACGTATTCTCACGTTGGTGCTGTACTCCGCACAAGTATGTACCTCCTGTCCTCAGCTGGTCAAGTCTGCTCCGTGGTTCACGGAGCGGTCCGTGACGGACATCTCCGTGGGCGGGCTGATCGTCCTGGTGCTGGTCCGAGCCATTCAGTTCAACATGAACAACACACGGGTGAGTACCGATGACATTTATAGACGTCAACAACGCACACGGGCGAGTACGTACGAGACAAGATATGAGCAGCATACTGGGGAATACGGATAGTGGATCGTGATCTAGTACCTACCGAGTGTTTGTGGAAAAAGTCGGATATTTGAGTCGGATAGTCGCACCGGATATTTAGTGTGTGATAAGGAAACGTCTGAAGTGTTTGCTATGTAGGCGTCACTTTCGTTCATTGCACCGATCGCACACTAAATTGTCCGTTTTTTCAGGACAAGTACCTGCACACCAACTGTCTGGCGGCGCTGGCCAACATGTCGGCAGAGTTTCGGCAGCTGCACCCGTTCGTCTGCCAGCGGCTGGTGTCGCTGTTGGAGCAGCTGTCGCGCCGCCACAGCCGGCAGCTGCAGCTGCTGCAGACGCAGCCGCCGCCCGACGGCGTCTCTCTGCAGGTCAGTCAGGTCGCGGAGACGAAATGCGGGAGGTACGGGAGGTAATTTAGGTAGTTTGTGATCTTGATGGGCACAAATGCCTCTTTTGTTTGCTGCTGTCGACTCGATTGTTATCTCGATAGGCAGTCTCTTTACTTCACTGTGATTCGTTTCAACAGAAATGCCTTGATTGCTTTTGAAGTGTTCCCTGTCAAAATGTTTCGGAGCTGTGATGCTTGGCGAATGGGGAAATCGCCTTCCTACCTCGCTTAGATAGCTAAAGCGAAGTATTAGTGCTGCCGAACATAATCTGTCTAACTGGTGGCGTGTTTTACCGCTGCAGGACGTGACGGTGTTGGAGGATGTGGTGAAGATGCTGCTGGAGATAATCAACTCGTGTCTTACGGCGCAGCTGGCGCACAACCCGAACCTGGTGTACGCCCTGCTGTACAAACGGGAAGCGATTCAGGCCTGTCTCAGCCATACCGGCTTCCAGGACATATCGCGCAACATCGAGACGGTCAGTCGTCGGACGAGGGGCGGGCAGCTTCACCCACAGAATGAAGATTAGACTCGCACTATGGGATGGGATCCGACGTTTCTAAAGGGGGAAGGGAGGCTGAAAGGGGGAGGTGAACGGGCACCGATAATGTTGACGACTTGGGATGGAGTCTAACCAGGCTTGGCGATGGCCTGTGACTTCGTTTTGTGTCGTTTTGTGTCGACCCTGCTGACATGAGTCCCCGAGCCGCGGTGGTGGTTAATTCTGACTGCGCACTGCTGCTTGTTCACAGGTGCTGGCCCACTTTCACGAGAAGGTGGCCAGCCTGCCCAAGGAGCCGGGCGTGAAGGAGGTGCTGGCCGTCATCCAGGAGGGCGTCAGGATGTTCCCCATGGAGCGGCTGCGGGTGAGTCCACGCAGAATGGATCTACCTACGCAGTACTCTTGTTTCGGTTCTATAGCACCTTTTGACTGCTACGCGATATGTAGGGCATGTAAGCAGTTGTGGTGCCTCAGCTTTTGATGTTACTTATTATCTGTTATCAGCTTGTCGCTAAATTGAGACTGTTGCTTAGTCTACTTTTCAATAAAAATTGACGCAAGGATATCAAGGATAACTCAAGCTACCCTCCCCCGCAGAAATTTCCGGAGCTCAAGTTCAAGTACGTGGAGGAGTCGGACCCGGAGGCGTTCTTCATCCCTCACGTTTGGTCGGTGGTGTTTTCCGGCTCCGAGCTGCACTGGCGGGCGGACACCGTGTGTCAGTTCGACCCGCTGCAGCCGGGCGCAGTATCCTGAGCTGTGGTACGTAACGATCATGGGGTGGAGACAGTGCGGGACAGCTGCCGCGGCCGGGCGCCGTATCCTGAGCTGTGGCCATTGACGCTGGACAGTGCGGGGCTGCCGCGGCCGTGTGTCCCACCGCCCCCATAATGGGCTGAGTAGTGCTGAGTCACCGGTACCGTCCACAGGACACGCCTCCACGGACCCACGGACCCGGGAGGCGTGTCGAAAGGAACGCCAGTCATCGGCGTATTTATTGCGATGGCTTGTTGAATTGAAATGCTGCGCATTATAGGTGGGTTACCACACAGCTGAAGTGCGGTGAGGATTTAGAGGAGCGGGAGCCTCACGTTGACGTTTGTACTTCACATTGCGACATGAGCGAGCGACATTGTTTACACTGCTATTTGCGCTATGGTGAGCCGCGATACGCTGCGTAGGTACCATACCAGCTAATGCATTGCTATACAAAGTATCTTTAGTGTCATATCTAGATACGTTTTCTTCCGGTGCGGGCTACTGTCGGTACTTTACTGCCTTACGTCAGTATTTATAATTTTAGCACCCTGATGGGTCACCACTGACTGAGTCAATGGGACAAGAAGACTACGACAGGATCGTTGTGCGACTGCAGTTAGGTGTAAGTCACTTTCTGGGTATTCGGGTGTCGTGACCCGGTACGCCTTGACACGCTCTGCAGCTGGTGTTATTCGGTAAATCGGAGCTCCTTTTGTGCCGGTAGATAAGTTGGTGGCCAGTCCGCTTACTGTTGCTAATTTTAACCATGAGTCGTGTTTGTTTTCGATAAGTTTTGTTGCGTTGTTTGTTACACATTCTATTTATTAGCGTATTGTGTCGAGTCGATACTCGCTTCTGTTATCCAGATTGACTGGCTTTTTGTTATCTAGACTGGCTAGTGGTTACCTAAGTATATGCAAACGCATACTTTTATCGCAGTTCATGGAATTGTAGAATATGCAAGGGGTGTTGCAATGCGTTATCTTCTTACATGGTGTTTAGTAATTAACGTGCTGTGATTATTGAACGGTTATTACGGATTGCTTGGGTTCCCAACCGTCTGGACAGACTGCTACGCATATGCAATGGAACTGCTTGCAAAGTGTGAATACAAACGTAGAAGCCAAATGATCTTAAGACCAGAAGGGTGAGTCTGAACCCCGGTTTATCGCACTCGATTTATAAGAATATATATTTGAATGATTTGAACGGGATATTTTGTATTCCGTCCCGAAACTGAGGCAGTTTCGGCGATAGCTCTTTCGGATGAATGATTTTTTGCTTCCGCATTTTTCGAAAACACAAGTCTCACTGCCAAGACGGTTAACAAGTCGCGAAACCGTTAAGAAATGAAAATATATTTTCCCCGATACACATTACACTGGGCATGCTTCGGACGTTTACAAGGCACTATAAGGCAACGGTTACGGCACGCGGAATAAATACCCTGATGCGTGGTGTGCTGTCGAGCGGCCGTCTAGCCCAGACGGGAGGGACTCTGCTACTCTGCCCCACTACTCGCTGTTCTTACCACACGGTCTCTGTTCTACCGGTAAACTCGGGCGCTGAGCCATGGGCCGATCGACTAGGAATCTGTACAACAGTCTTATGCAGCATGATTACCGACTGGACAGCGAGCCTACAGGCCGTAACGCAATAACCAGCGGACGCGTCACCGTACAACCGGCTGTCGTGAACTATGATTCTAGGCGATTATCGATCTCTCCTCCAGCCGCCGCATACGCAGCATCGCCCAGACAGAATTACGCAAGGGTCAGCTGTCACTTTTCCACCGCCATTATGCCGGGAAGGCAGCGATCACAGCCCGCGGCGCACCCCGAGCACACGCACACGCACAAACACAGGCGAGTATTGTCTCAGGGCGTCTCACAACGCGGCGCGGGCGAGCGAGCGCCCCTCCTCACAGGTCAGCTGACCGGCCGCGCGGCTCAGCACCGATACATGACTATTGCAGAGCCGACCGCCACTGGAGTAGCTGAGGTATACACATGGAAGACGATCCCCACACGGCCAGCAACCGCACAGTCATGGCACGCAGGGAACCCGGTGGCACACCACCGAACAAAATATAATGCAAACCACTTCACAACGGAACGGGCGCGTCTTAAGACACTCCATGGGAACGTTGATCAAAAAGCTACAGACACCACCCCTTCCGCAAGCTAGTCTCAAAGGAGACAGGCGAACGCGGAGATTCCAAGATCTCGAAATGTGCGTCGATGCTGCTCCGGGGATAGGGCAGTTCATTCGTTGCAACTAATCAAAATATGTACCAGCTCAAACGGCAAATAAATGTTTGTAACCAGCCTCAGTAAATAACCCAATATGAATACGTTACACGATCTAGTAAGGAATCTCTACTGCGCCCGGTCCAACTCTGGGATGCAAACTACTCAAAACGCCATATTCCATGAAGTTTTCGGACGATTCCACGACGCCCGCCCATATTTCGGACTAGTCTGGGGAGGCAGGACTGCGGAATCGTCCCGGAGACCCGCAGATCCCGGTGGGCAAACGGCGCTGCTAAACAACTGTCGCACCGAAAGACGACAAATATCACATAAATACGCGCAAACACGGCACACCTGCGTCATAGTTGGCGAGCGACCGTAAGGCGTCCACCTTCCGATGCGAGAGTTCTTCTCCAGTCGAGGGTTACAGACTCGTCTGCAGCACCTCCTCTCCCTTCCCTCCACGGCGGGGTTTTCTTGACTCCTAACCTCTCCCATCTCCCCCATCAACCCTCGTGGGACTGGTACAGCGACTCGCTGGGCGACAGCCGGCCGCCTCTCGTCGCGGGAAGCTCACCACACGCGGGGCACTGACGTCTGGCGATGGCGTGGCCGCTCAGCCTTCAGTACCCACCGGTCAGGGACAGCATCTGCCGCGGTGCGCGCCCGAGCCCAGTCTCACCGACTGACCTCCGCCGGCGGCGCGGCTCTCGCGAAACTGGCGCACCACGTCGGCCGCGCAGTCGTTAAAGATGCGGTCAAACACCTCCACTGCGGGCAAACGGACGTGAGGTGGGTTAGATAAGTAGCCCAGCATAAGCTCGGGTGGGCAGGAGAATGAATTGTAAGGAAAGATGATAGCGATGCATGACTCCGCTATCTGGAGTTGAAGCAGTAAGCTGTACTTGGAACCTGTCGCTACTGTGCTGTGTATCCGTATTTACTGATTACGCAACCAATGACACAATTATATCGCTGCTTCAGATTTCATGCCCTTATTTGTTAGAAGAAAAATGCGAGAAAGCATCGTTTTGTTCCTGTAAAACGATGACACGCGAAGCACAGCTTTGTCATTGCTACGCTAGCCGAAAGTCCTTACATAACGGTTATCGCGCCACCATTGACACAACAGTGGCTATCGAAATTCCCTCAAAGACAGCCCTTGATAAAAGCCATACGCTACACGTAACCACGGAGGTCGCCGGACACAATGTTTACGATAGATCGTCATGTGTCTGGGTTACTGCCACAAATAACTACGGTAAACCAGGTCAGCGCCGTGCCGTGACGACACATGATCGCCCGGGCACTTTGAGTAACGTGCAGCAGCCTAGACCACCGTTCAAACAAACTGAAAATGTGCTCGGAGTCTCGCTGTTACTTTGATTCGGCGTGTGAATAATACAGATTGGCGACAGCTGTCCTTACGCAGCCGACACCTGAAGGTCAAAGAAAACAAACGGAACTAAGGGGCGTAATTTAACTGAGCTAAAAGAGGCACGTGGGTCGAATGGCATGCTATATTTGGCGAGACCGAGGTATGCGAGGCGAATCGAGGTTATATAGAGCAGAGGCGATGTAGGTGGGCTGCGAGATGCGATATTCTTTATGAACTAAACGAGGACAATTTGCCAAATAAAAACATGCTATAAGCTGCATGCGTAAGCAACTTACCAGAAAATATAAAAGAAACCTCAAAAGTTTGAATTCTGGTAGGGTTTACCTATAGTATTCGTAATGAAAAATTCCAGCGTGAGTTCAACGTCTCTCGCACTCAAGACTGATTCTCTGCAAGATCAATGGCACTAATCGCCGTTATATTCCGTGAGCGAGGACGTCTTCATAAGTACACAGTGTATCATTCTGTGATGTGTGGCACTGACCGACGTTATATCCTGCAATAGAGGACGTCTGCAGCACACAGTGTCTCGTTTAGTGAAGTGTGGTACTGACCGACGTTATATCCTGTGAGCGAGGACGTCTCCAGCACACAGCGCATGATGTGTGGTACTGACCGACGTTGTATCCTGTGAGTGAGGACGTCCCCAGCACAAAGTGTATTATTCTGTGAGGTGCGTGCAGATACTGACCGACGTTGTATCCTGTGAGTGAGGACGTCTCCAGCACGCAGACGGCCCGCACAGAGTCGGCGTAGTCGACGGCGTCGTGAAAGTCCACCTGGCGCGCCGTGCGGCCCTGTTTCTGGATCACGTCCAGCTTGGTGCCTACCAGGTATATCCGGCAGCCCTGGCGACAGAATGCGGCAACTCATTCAGCCACGGTCCAGTCATGAGTCAGTCGCGACACCCAGTACATATGTCAGAAACATGCTGACGAGACGACTTGCACTTTGGCTTTGCCTTTTTGATGCACTGCGTAATAAAAAAGATTTGAAAAAGTAAGACGTGAAGGGCTGAATAGCCTTACGTAAGAAACCAGTTTGAAGACGATATTAAACATTCATACAATTGACACATTGAAAACAAATAACACAATAAAACAAACGGGACACATACGCAACGATAATGTGCGTCTGAAGCAATTCACGAACGATGAGAATCAAGAATGACATCAGAATTATTGGATGAGTGGAACGCAACCCACCTCGACGCGCAGTTTGATCTCGTCGACGTATTTTTTGGCCTTCTCCCAGTGTTCGGCGTTGGTGAGATCGTAGCAGACCACAGCCGCCGTGGACTCGCGCATATACAGCGGCAGCCAGCTCTCATACCTGGCGGGCGGAGCAGAAATCGGTGAGCGGACGAAGAAAAAGGTAAGTGTAGGGATATATCGGCTCACTGAGACTATATTCAAGTGATTCGGTCACCTCCAAAACACGAGAAAAACATAACCTGATGCAGTGTCCCAAAATCATATTTTTGCTTGGGTGTCTGTCAGAGGGGAAAATTGCTGACCAAAAAAAGGATGAGAGTGAAAAATTGTCAGTCAGGTAAGGCCCAAAAAGAGTGGGAAAATGATCAAAAACATTAATCTATCTACAATTGTGACAAATGCAAAACAACCATTCACGTAATTGCTCCTTCTCGGTGGAATTGGGAGTGGAAAATTGGACTTGAAAACTGGAGGTGAGAGTGGAAAATGATTTTCATTTGGATGTCATTTCCCTTCCCACCCACAACTACAAATTTTGGGACACTGACCTGATGTCAGTGTTGACCAGTTCGGTGAACTGTAAACGTTGACTCAAGTATGAAACGGACCCTGTTTGGTAGTACCCCGCCCAATTGTCAGCATGCCAAATAAATGGTTGGCAGGACATGCAACTGTACAACTTCATTATTGGATTGGTGATGAAGGGTTGATAGCATCCTGTAAATAGTCAGATCAGAGGTCTGTTCAAGTTATGACTTATGAGGCATCTGGTACCCCTTTGGTGGACATAAATAATAAGTGACTTAATGTGAATGCACAAAAATGATATGACAAAAAGGATGTGAAGAATGATGATGAGTAGATGAAAGGAAATCAGGATGATTGGAAAAAAAGGTATATATTTTTTACCAAACAAAAAAAAAGAGTGCCAAATCAGTACTAAAAACACATAAGTACTGATTTTGTACTGAAACTGATCAAACTTAGTGGATCACACTTACCTTTCTGAGCCAGCAGTGTCCCATATTTCAAATTTTATCTTGTCATTTTTGTAGAACCTATATTCTGCGCCATAAGCAGCACCAACAGTCTGAAATGAATGAAAGCCAGTAAACAAGATTACCTTCACTTCAACTTAGCTGCAAAACTGAAGCAATGCGAGAAATGATTCACGGAGCCAGATCCTCTGCACAACGCTCTTTCCTATTCAAGGGATAATTCATACATCTAGCATTATATTAAGATTTATTGGATAAACTTTCATTTTATCAGCATTTTATATGAGCTGAGAAAATCAGGTATATGGGATTAAGGGTCTATTTCACGCACTTACATTTGAATTTGATGTTGGAAAACTTTTATGGAGATACCTTGTACACAAGCATGTCTTGCCCGCAAATGCTTTACCGACCATCACAACTTTGATGGTGGGGCAGGCAGCAGCCATTTTTTAAATAAGCTAACGAGCCTTAAAAAAACTGTTTTCTTCAAGCAAGTTCAACAATAACTTTGAATTTGACCTCAAACACCTCCGCCCCATATCTTCCTTCTTGCATCCAAAAACACAAAACTAAGCGCTGTTCATGTCGGCTCCATCATTTGCTAAACTTTAGGCCAAGATACGCTCAGTTGAGGCATATATCACTATTTTAAGCCAATATTGACGGAGCCAATTAGATCTTTCCTCGCCAAAAGACCATAACCGTTGATGGACATTGGATGAATCATGAATAACAAAGTTGTTTGCATATCTTCCTTTAAGCATGTATTTTTATTTTCGTGCAGATACGATCTTTTTATAGCTTGAGAAGGATATAAAAAAAAATTGAAAAGGAAATCGCCACGCCGAGTGGATCGCCCGACGCCCATGATGGCTAATTCCTATAGGATATACCTGATGATATACCTAATAAATATCTATACCAAATCTATAGGATTCTTGGTACATATAAAAGACGAAAAAGGATTAACTGGTGAAATAACAAAAATAATATCAATGTGTGATAAGTATTTTTTCATTATGCCTAGCTATCTTGGCGAATATTCCTCATTATTTCCCCCAAAATGTTAGCAATGTGAACAATGCTTTTATGACGCTTTGTTTACAAAAGTGACGCAGATAAAATTTATCGTTTTGATGACGCATAACTAATATTAACAGAAATTTTGTGATAGTTTTTGATTTAAATACTCTAATTCAACCTTTAAATATAGTCACCGTGCCTTTAAATAGTTGATTAAAAAAATACCAAGTCGTCTTTTTCTGATAAAAAGAACAAGCACATTAAGTTTAGTTACTACGTCATTGAAAGACTTTAAAGTCACAATTTAGATTTGTTGTCTAGTGCGGCCTTGTGCTGCCACGTGCGGTCGGTGTGTGACCCGTGCAGGGGGGTACGCTCCGGCTGTTTAGCATTACAAAAAATGGTGACAGACGTTTGTGGAGGATTGTCGACGAACTCTTGTTCCGCGAGCAGTACTTACACGCTAGCGGAAAATTCACCAATCAGCGCTCGGCAGTACTCGACGCTGATTGGTCCGACGCTCGTGACGAAATTGCGGGGGACCGCAGTTATTCTCTATGGACCCGAATAGGCTTTTGGATTTCGGAGGAGTTTCTTTAAAATTATATGCTGTTTGGAGCTGTTTTCGAGTTGAAATATATTTCTTATGACTGTTAGCTATATAATGACACCATAAAATCATGATTTTAATAAATATTACCGATGTAATATCGGCCGAAAAGACATGCTGTCATGGCACGGACTGCCGTGCGGCTGATGTGGGGCCCCTAGTGCCAGCGTATGGTAATAATGGGTTGACGAAGGGTTATTGGAGAAACTTAGAGCCCCATCAGCATTCAGTATAGGGTCATCAGAGGCCGGGAATGTCCATCAGGGGTCTGAGTAGGCCTGTCATAGGGGCATACATGACACATCATGGCCCATGGGTCAATGTAGATCCATTGTAGGGATCATCTACGCGATTTGTCATCTATGCGATTTGTCATTTCATGTTGTCATTTTCATTTATATTGTCACCGCTTTATTAATCAATCTGTTACCTGTTGCCAATTGCGCGTCAAGTTTGTTTGTTATTTGTAAACCGGCCTGCCGCTGGCCTCAACCTTCCTAGTAACCGCTGTGCCATACGCTATAGAACGTGTCGTGCAAAGGTCACGGCGGCACCCCTGAGGCGGCCGCTGCCCGTACGTTTAGGAGCCCATTGTCGTGACGTCATGACTGTGGACAAAGGTCGCGGTAGGGGCTCTCCCGGCAGCCGGACGGTGACTCATACGTTGAGCTTGTCTCTCGCCGCGCCTGCGGGCATATTGGTAGTACTAGGGACGGCCAGCATATGACCGCGGTTTTCGGCGACATTGTCAATTCGTTTCTCGACTGCTGTTCGCTACAAGACCAATACACATAGAAAACGGCTCGGGCATTTGGAGAAGAGCGGCTACTCTGAGGCGAGGGAAGAACACGGAGATTCACACAAACGACCTGACTAGGTTGCACCGGCCACAGTCGACCGAGGTGGGCTTCTGCGCCCTTAAAGACGCCTCTGACTGGCCATTGCGCTGACACCCTGGTCGGACCACGGTCATTGATCGGACCCTGCCACTGGTTCGTGCTCAGGCTGCCTTAGCGGGTAGACCTGCTCGACCAGACGCCCACTGGTGGGCGAGTGCTCGGTTCCGACTTTCACCGCCGGTCCAACAGCGTTCTGCTGGTTCCCGCCGATCCGGTTACGACACCGCAAGTGCCGTACCGACTCGGGCGTCCCAGGTGGGCGTAACGGTTACCACACCAGTTCGCGACCCCCAGGCTCTGTCAGCCGTCGTACGGCTCTCGGACGGACACTCTAATAGATCAGCCACAGATCAATAGGTTGTCACAGACCGTCCGTCCAGCCAAGCGCTACCCACAGCGCAGTACGACAATTGGTGACCCCGACGTGATCTCCGTTGTTCGACCTTAGCCTCTCGTCATGCCGGCGGACAGCGCACAGTCCGGCGCCGCAGCTCAAGACTCGGCCAGCGTTCCAGCTTCAGCCTCCGAGTCAACTCATCGGCCCATGGCTAGCTTCCGGCTACCACCATACTCTCCGGAAGAGCCCGACCTGTGGCTACTGCAGGTGCAGTGCGCTTTCGACGTCAGCGGGGTCGACTCCGACGAGCTGAGGTTTAAGCTCCTCGTCGCAAACCTCCCCGCCAACATCGCCGTCCAGGTCAAGGACGTCATCCGGTCATCTCGGTCTTTTGACGTGCTGTGTGCAGCGCTCCAAGCCCGCCTGGCACAGTCACGCGCCGACCGACTACAAGCCCTGCTCGGCCGCCAGCAGCTCGGCGATCAGAAGCCGACGGCGCTGTTGCGCTCAATGCGCAACGAGCTAGCCGCAGCCGGGGACGCACCGGTTGATACGGAGCTCTTCCGTACCCTATTTCAACAACGGCTACCGCAGCCCGTCCGTGCTGCCCTCGCCCTCCTGCCAGCCGACAGCACGCTTGACGCACTGGCAGAAGCGGCCGACCGGTACCTGGAAGCTAGCGGACCCGACCCACGGCTATCAGCGATCGCGGCACAGCCGTACACACAGCCGGCACCGCCCATCGCTGCTGCAGTGACAGCCCCAGCGCCAGCTGCAACCCCTGCGCTGGACACCGTCATCGCCTCCCTGGTCGCTAAGATGGAGCGCCTGGAGGCCAGCAACCGACGACTCGAGGACGCCGTGCGACGCGACCGCAGCCGTTCCCGGCCGCGCCAGGCGTCTCGCCAGTCACGCCGCCCGTCACCGGCTCGTCCTTCAACGCCGCCGCACGACGACACGCTGTGTTGGTACCACCAGCGATTCGGCGCCCAAGCGCGCCGATGCAAGTTGCCGTGCTCCTGGATCGCCTCGGAAAACTGAGGCGCCCCGTGCTGATGGCGCAAAGCACGGGCGCCCCTCCTGCCGCGCCACTCCTCTTCGTGAGGGACACGGAGACGGACCGGCAATTTCTAGTCGACACCGGGGCGCAGGTCAGCGTGCTGCCTCGCCGCTGCCTGCCCAACGGGTCCACACTGACCCCTGCTCCTGTCGGCCAGCAGCTCGTCGCGGCAAACGGCTCACCGATCGCGGTGCACGGCACCTGCCTGCTGGACGTCACCTTGAGTCAGCAGCACCGCCTGAAACATCGATTCTTCGTCACTGACGTCACCACACCCATCTTGGGCACCGACTTCCTGGCCGCACATCACCTCGTCGTGGACGTTGCCAACCAGCGTCTCCTGCGGGACGGCACCGTCTGCGCCAGCGCCGAGCGGTCACGGCTGTGCTCCATCGGAGTGCGTCTCGTCCGGGAGCAGGCTGCTGCTCGCTTCGCAGCTGTCCTCGCACGGTACCCGGATGTGACCTCACCAAAACCTGGACCAACACCGGTGAAGCACAACGTGACGCACCACATCGTCACCAAGGGTCCACCGGTGTACCAGCGGCCACGACGCCTTCCGCCGGAGCGCCTTCAAATCGCACGTGCTGAGTTCAACAAGATGCTCCAGCAAGGCATCATTCGACCGTCGAGCAGCAGCTGGACAACTCCACTCCACATGGTGCCAAAGAAGAGACCCGGCGAGTGGCGTCCTTGCGGCGACTACAGAGCGCTGAACGCCCGCACCGTACCAGACCGCTACCCGCTGCCGTACCTGCGGGACTTTTCAGCCGACCTGCATGGGTGCACCGTCTTCAGCACCATTGACTTGGTGAAGGCTTACCACCAGATCCCGGTGGAGCCTGCCGACGTCCCCAAGACAGCCATCACGACACCGTTCGGCCTCTACGAATGCGTTCGGATGCCGTTCGGCCTCAGAAACGCCGGACAGACCTTCCAGCGTTTCATGGATGAGGTCCTCCGCGGCATACCGGGCTGCTTCGTCTACCTGGACGACATTCTGCTGGCCAGCCCGACTGCCGAACACCACCTGCAGCTCCTGGACCAAGTGCTTCAGCGCCTCAACACCTACGGCGTCGTCGTCAACAGGCACAAGTGCGTCCTGGGACAGGAGCAGGTGGTGTTCCTCGGCCACTCGGTAGACGCCGACGGCGTCCGCCCGCTGCCTGGACGAGTCGAGGCCATCAAAGACTTCCCGGAACCGACCACTCAGTCCCAGCTACGGAGGTTCCTGGGGATGGTAGCATACTACCACCGCTTCATCCCCCAGGCAGCCGAGCTCCTGCAGCCTCTGCACGCCTTAATCACCCACAAGGCAAAACGCTCGAGAGCGCCTGTCACGTGGACAGACTCGGCGCGGCGGCGTTTCAAGAACGTCAAGGACGCCCTGGCCACGGCGACACATCTCGCACACCAAGTCCCGGACGCGCCGCTCGCCATCTTCGTCGACGCCTCGGACTGCGGAGTGGGCGCCGTCCTCCAGCAGCACGTCGCCGGCGAGTGGCAGCCCCTCGCTTTCTTCTCGAAAACGCTCCAACCTGCGGAGAAGAAATACAGCACGTTCGGGCGCGAGCTGCTCGCTATCTACCTGGCCGTCCGGCACTTCAAGCACGCCATCGAAGGACGGTCAGCAATCATTTTCACAGACCACCGCCCGCTGGTAACGGCCATCGGCTCCTCGTCCGACCGCTATTCGCCACGAGAGGTCCGCCACCTGGACTACATCGGCCAGTTCGTGTCTGACATCCGCCATGTGCCTGGCAAGGACAACGTGGTCGCCGACACGCTGTCACGCACGGTCTCGATGGTGGCCCAGCCGCGCCCCCCGCTCGCCGACTTCACTGCCATCGCCAAGGCCCAGTCCGAAGACGGCTCGCTGGAAGACCTCGAGGCCTCAGACACCTCACTGCGCCTGCGCCACATCCCGGTCGGCGATGGACTCTGTCTGCTCTGCGACGAGTCCACCGGATCGCCTCGGCCGGTCCTCCCGGAGGCGCTGCGCCGGCCCTTCGCCAAGGCTCTGCACGACCTGTCGCACCCTGGCGTCGAGGCCACCGTCAAGCTCGTCTCTAAGCGGTTCGTCTGGCCCGGTATGGATCGCGACGTGCGCCGCTGGACCCGAACCTGCCTCGCCTGTCAGCGCTGCAAAATCGGCCGGCACACCAAGTCTGACGTCGGCACCTTCCAGCCACCTCAGCAACGCTTCGACCACGTCCACGTGGACCTCGTCGGCCCGATGCCTCCGTCAAGAGGGCACTCGTACCTCCTGACGTGCGTCGACCGGTTCACTCGGTGGCCAGAAGCCATCCCTCTGCCGGACAGCCGCACCACCACGGTCGCCCGCGCCTTCCTCGAGCACTGGGTCGCCCGATTCGGCGTTCCGTCCATCATCACGACGGACCGAGGTGCCCAGTTCGAGTCGGCCCTCTGGTCGGAGCTACAGCGATTCCTGGGCTGCCAGCGAACTCGGACGACGTCCTACCACCCGGCCTGCAACGGTATGGTGGAACGCCTGCATCGCCAGCTGAAGGCCAGCCTCCGTGCACACCAGGCTACGTCATGGACGGACGTGCTGCCGCTGGTGCTCCTGGGCATACGCTCCACCATCAAGGCGGACCTGCAGGCGACGTCAGCCGAGCTGGTGTACGGCTCCTCACTGCGGCTTCCCGGCGAGTTCTTCATCAGCAGCCAAGCCTCAGCAGCATCACCAGCCGGCTTCGTACAGGACCTGAAGCGCGCCATGTCTCAGGTGCGGCCGACACTCCCACGTCCGGTCCAGCGCGCCACGTACGTCCCGACGGCACTCCAGACGGCGACACACGTCTTCGTGCGCAGGGACTGTCACCGCTACCCGCTGGACGCTCCATACGACGGACCGTTCCCGGTTACCGAAAGGACCACCAAAACCATCACCATCGACCGTCGACAGAAAAAGGAGGTCATCAGCATCGACCGGTGTAAGGCCGCCTTCCTGGAGACGCCAGACGAATCCGGTCATCGACAGCCTGACCTGCCGACTGTGCAGCCGCACGGTACTCAGTCCAGCGGCCCGCCGGCCGCGCCACCGCTCAGCAATGAGCCCAGCGGCCCGGAGCTTCTGATCTACGGTGACGCACCAAATCGCCCTGCAGCCGTCGCTCAGGCTGACGCTGCACCATTGCAGCCTCAGCCGATACTACGGACGACCCGCTCCGGCCGCGTCATACGACCTCCGGTAAGATATCGCCATGTCACTTTTGTCCGCGACATGTCTGGCGAGGGGGTACTGTAGGGATCATCTACGCGATTTGTCATCTATGCGATTTGTCATTTCATGTTGTCATTTTCATTTATATTGTCACCGCTTTATTAATCAATCTGTTACCTGTTGCCAATTGCGCGTCAAGTTTGTTTGTTATTTGTAAACCGGCCTGCCGCTGGCCTCAACCTTCCTAGTAACCGCTGTGCCATACGCTATAGAACGTGTCGTGCAAAGGTCACGGCGGCACCCCTGAGGCGGCCGCTGCCCGTACGTTTAGGAGCCCATTGTCGTGACGTCATGACTGTGGACAAAGGTCGCGGTAGGGGCTCTCCCGGCAGCCGGACGGTGACTCATACGTTGAGCTTGTCTCTCGCCGCGCCTGCGGGCATATTGGTAGTACTAGGGACGGCCAGCATATGACCGCGGTTTTCGGCGACATTGTCAATTCGTTTCTCGACTGCTGTTCGCTACAAGACCAATACACATAGAAAACGGCTCGGGCATTTGGAGAAGAGCGGCTACTCTGAGGCGAGGGAAGAACACGGAGATTCACACAAACGACCTGACTAGGTTGCACCGGCCACAGTCGACCGAGGTGGGCTTCTGCGCCCTTAAAGACGCCTCTGACTGGCCATTGCGCTGACACCCTGGTCGGACCACGGTCATTGATCGGACCCTGCCACTGGTTCGTGCTCAGGCTGCCTTAGCGGGTAGACCTGCTCGACCAGACGCCCACTGGTGGGCGAGTGCTCGGTTCCGACTTTCACCGCCGGTCCAACAGCGTTCTGCTGGTTCCCGCCGATCCGGTTACGACACCGCAAGTGCCGTACCGACTCGGGCGTCCCAGGTGGGCGTAACGGTTACCACACCAGTTCGCGACCCCCAGGCTCTGTCAGCCGTCGTACGGCTCTCGGACGGACACTCTAATAGATCAGCCACAGATCAATAGGTTGTCACAGACCGTCCGTCCAGCCAAGCGCTACCCACAGCGCAGTACGACACCATTAGGGGCCGTTGAAGGGCCATCATTGTTCAGCGTGGGCTCGCAATTACCTCTGATGGGCATATGCCGTGCCCCGATGGACTAACGCTGGCCCCTGATGAACCATCACCAGCCCCTGATAGGTCTACAAAGCCCCCTGCTGGGTCCAAATTGGTCACTGATATGCCCAAATGGGCCACTGAGAAACCCGTACAACATCCCCTGACTGCACCTGCTGGACCAATGCCGTCCCCTCATGGACCCACCACAGCTCATGAATGACCTTTTCAAGTCCCCTGAAGTGCCTTTATTGGCCTAAATGGCCCCTGATTGACTTATGTGGTCCCTATTGGTCCTATATGGCCTCCATGAGCCCTCACGTCCCTAGACAGCCTTACCTTATATTCCACTGGGCCCTGTTGGGTCAGCACCGGCCCCTGATAGGCTTGCACTGGACCCACCGGGCCTATACCGACCCATGAAGGGCCTATGTCGAGCCCTCATGGACCTCCGATGATCACACGCCGACATGTGTGGCCCCATCAGCAGTGGTCCGTCTATCCCATGTACTTACGGTCTTTTTGGCCGATGTGACACCGGTAGTATATAGAAATGTTATGATTAAATGTCGTTATTACACAGTCAAAAGTCACACAAAGAATACCCAAGCTCAAAAATGGCCTCAAACCCAACAAAAACTGGTATAAATCCCCTTCAAAAGCCGTAAGTCTATTAAACGCCATAGGGGAATAGCTACAGTCCCCCACAATTTCGTCACGAGCATCGGGCCAATCAGCGTCGAGTATTGCCGAACGCCGATTGGTCGATTTCCGCTAGCCTGTAAATGCTGCTTGCGGATATAGTTTTGAACAAGTGAGGGTCGCGGCTACTAATTATCGCTTGTCACCAGTTTTTCGTCGGGAACGTTCTACCTGGTTTATATAGCCTTGGACCCGTGTAATTTGCGTAGAGATATACGTAATTTGCATCAATTCAGTTATTTGTGTGCCAATTCCTTTCATATTTTTAGAGATTTAAGTTTCAGTTTATCTGCACGTTCCCCTGTAAGCTTTTACCAAGTTTTTACCTTTGCCATGTTACATGAACCGCTACCGTTTCACATTTTATATCAGTCGGGCGCACTGTGGTATCTCCGATTCATTTATGGAGACGTTTCTATTATTGGAAACGTTTCCAATTTTGACTACTCTTCTGTTCCAAAAATGGAAACGCTCGTTCCATAAATAGAAACGCTAACATCTCCGCACATATTTTCTTGCCAAGGGTGGCTGGATTCGATGTATAACAACTGTTTCGCGTAAAACAAGCTCAGATACACCAAAAGCACTTGTCTTCTTGCATGGAAAGCTGTCGTATGCATTAAAATTCACGTCTTTAAAATGCTCCTGAATCGTATCCATTTATGGAGACTTAGTTTCCAAAAATGGAAACGCCGATGTTCCAAAAATAGAAACGCTGAAGTTCAAATGTGTGCAAACTTAGCTTAAATGTGTTTTTAAAATTCACATGCAACTAAAAATTTGATGTTTTGGGACTGGTTTAGCATCTCGGCTCTCGGCAGTTACCTTGGACGTCGGGTTCAATAATAATACCTTACGCGCCGCAACTTGAGCACATTCAAAAGTCAACTAAAACTAAGATTTCCCAGAAACTACTGGACAGATGTGGTCCAAAGTGGGCAATACATAAAGCGTAGATATCATTTCAATATATAAAATTAATATAAATGTTACACATGAGCTAGAATGAATAAATTCATCGTCAGAATACAACGGTATTTGGTATGACGACGGTGCAGACCTTATTTCCATCCTGCTTTTTACGTATTTGCACGGATATTTACGTTGATCCGAGCCTACGATCTTATTCAGCACATTTGAAATATCATAAAATGCCCACTTAAGTCTCCAAATAGGGCTTTGCAACAACTTTCATGCGATTTAATCAAAGATTGACGACCACCAGGCCGCTGGTACACCGGAAAACGCAGCGTGAAAATGAATGAAAAACTGAAGTTCCCGGTGATGTGGTTGTTCCAATCAATGGGTCAGTCTTTCAGTAGTCTGTTAAAAACGTTATTTTTTGTTCAAAACATTCATAAATGTTATTATTTTCGATTAGAAAAACGTGTGAATTTTTTATCACGTCAACATGTTACAAGCATATCCTCGTTCGTCAACTTCCGGTTTTCTGATCGGAAAGTCGGAGAACAGGAAGATAAACTAGAATGCTGGCTGTCGATTGGTGGCATCCTGCGCATGCCAAATTGCACCAATCAATGCCCAGTTTGCTTTAAAGGTAGCGATGCACACAGCGTCTCCATTTATGGAACAGATCGTTTCTATTTTTGGAAACTGCGTATCCATTTTTGGAACCTTGTTCCAAAAATGGAAACATTTCCATAAATGGATCGGAAATACCACAGTGTGCCCGACTGACCTCTCGGTATCGGTAAAGCTCAAGCTGGCGTCACCGTCGCGGCTAACCAGCATATCTATGTGTGGATGAAGTTAGAGTAAAAAACATAATCTAACCTGACCTATCCTTACCTACTTACCTACAGCCTACCAACTTACAAACCTACAACCTACCAACCTACGACCTACCAACCTACAACCTACCAACCTATAACCTATCATCTTACAACCTACCAACCTACAACCTACAACCTACCAACCTACAACCTACCAACCTACTAACCTACCAACCTACAACCTACCAACCTACCAACCTACAACCTACCAACCTACAAGTTGCAACCTACCAACCTACAGCCTACTAACCTACAACCTACAAGTTACAACCTACCAACCTACAGCCTACTAACCTACAACCTACCAGCCTACAACCTAACCTTCCTAGTATCTACTATCTACCTACCGCAGGTGCCGACGGTGACGCCAGCTGTACCGATACCGTCACCTCTACAGCTACCTTGAGATTTCTGTCTTTGAACCAAAGCCGTCACGCTGACTTTGGGCTTGTGGGTACATGACAATGTGTTGTCTGCTTAAAGGGACCCTCCCACCTTAACATTAGTTTTGAGTTGAGATAGCCAAATTGGTGGCCATGGCCTGAAAATACCGGTTTGGGCATTCACAACATCGAAAAATGCTTTAATTCGGAGATATGGAATTTCAAACTTGCAGTTTTCGGATTCTAAGGGGCTAATGCATTGGTATGCCCCCTTAGAATTTGTGACGTCAGCGGAGATCTAACGATTTTTAAATCTTTTACTAAAACGTTTGGCAGCACGCGGTGGTATATGCTGCTTTGCGCGCAACAAATGCCGCACTTTCAAATAAAGTCGCTAGGAACAGCGGAGATCCCAAAAAGTAAACAAAAGTAAAAGTCTAATATCTTGAAAACCGGTGAATATTTTTCGATGAAATTTGGTAGATATTCATTTTTGCTCTTTCTGAACCGAGCGACATCACTTTCATGCCAATTCATTAACTTTTTCGAAGGTGGGAGGGTCCCTTTAATGACTACTGGTAGCAATGTGCGCAAGATGACCTTTTAGTTGGCGTGCCTTTAAGCCCAAATCAGACTACTGGTAGCACAAACATAACACTTCACCTTGTTAAAACTATTTCAGGATCATGTCGGAGCAGTATTTTCCACGTGGTGGCAAGATTAAGAGGAAGGCCACTGATGCTGAAGATAAGCAAGATGAAGAGAAGCTGTTTGATGTAGGTTGAACATATACCAAGTTCATTTAAGTGTAGCTACTTTTTCATCTTTATGAAATACCTACATGTTACAGTCATGCCTAGTTTTCCTTCTATGAGATATTCACTGCTCTTAGGAATATCCTTTTTAATAGATACCTTGCTGCCAGTGCCATGTGAATGGCTGTGTGATATAGGTAGGAACTATTTTAGACAAAACTGGTACCTAATGAGATGAGCTTGATTGCTTTTCCAGACCTTGTTATTCCAGCTTGTCCAGGCATTGCTATACCCATATAAGAAATAGTTTTGCTTTTAAATTTGAATTGCAGGAGAAAGTGGATTTGTCATAGACAGCTATAGTTTAATTTGTGTACATGGTGCTATCTTGACATGATTTAGCCCAAATTAAGTGATCCTCATGTTGTATATTGCAGATGATACAGACATTATTTAAGAGAACTTGTATATTGCAGACTGTATTTTTCAGCCTTTTCAATTCTCATAATTGCTTTTGCTCCTGCAAATGCAGATCTGGACAATCTCCCTTCTCCCTATTGAACAACTGTGATTGGAAGTGAATCATGTGGATGGTAGCTAATCCTATCCTTCCAACTAATAATCCATTTCAATTTTTGGCTCAGGATCAGCCAAAGAAGAAAGCAAAGAAGCAGAAGGTGAAGCAAAAGAAATTAAAAGGAGAAGCCAAAAAGACAAATGGAACAGCTGAAGATGATTTCACCCATGTGGAGCCTCTGAAGCAAGATGTGAGCCTCATTTCCTTCTATATTGTGTTGTCAAATGGTTCTGGTGTGTGGCAGTCTCTTAGTTTGTTTGGAGTTAAATCATTCTTGTTGTTTTTTTGTAGAGATGTGATCATTTTTGGAACACTCACTATTTGTCATGTTTTTAATCACTAAGTACCTAACTAATTTAACATAATGCAATATGCATTCACTTCATTATACTGCTGATTTCAAATGACACTCACTAGTTTGCTGATTTTCAGTACTTGCATCCACATTGAAGTGGTAACACTTAGTTGGTGTGTTACTGTATGGTTTGAATCAGGAAGTATACATAAAACCACAAATCAGTGGTGTTCATCTGGCGCATATGTGGTTGGTTCACCACCATTCACCTGTGACCATTTTCCAGGACCTGGAGGCACAAATGGTGCTGCTCGGGCGGGTGAAGCAGGTGGAGGAGTTCCACCTGCTGGTCAGCCTGCCCTGCCACCTGGTAGGCTCGGTACCACTCACCAACATCTCCAGCACGTACAGCAGGCTCGTCGGCAGCCAGCAGGACGGCGAGGTGAGCCGGACTCAGATGGGAGGATGCACTCTGCTCTATTGGGGTCGGGGTTCCGCTTTTCAATCGATGTATCGCATTTTTATGCTCATAAGCCCGTAATGTTTCGGTCGTCTCGCCAAATTTCCTTTCTCCGTCGCGAACCTTCATTTCATAACTGCGTTGTCAGAACTCAGATCTAACAGTAAACAGGTTATCTATTTGCCAGCCTCTACAGTCCAGTTGGTGACGTTTACCGATACCCCGTCGTCCCCAGTCGGCGCCGGTCCTGTCGGACCTCTTCTCGGCCGGCCAGTACGTCAGCTGCATGGTGACCAAAGTGGACCAGTCCGGCCACAAGGTGCGCAACACGCTCTCCGTCAGGCCGGAGGACGTCAACAGCAGCCTGCCGGCCTCGGCGCTCGGCCCCGGACTGGTGAGTGGCGGTTGAACGGCGCGTGGGGGGGGGGGGGGGACTTGTTTGCTGGGGATGCGATTTTAGATTAATCATGACGTGTTTAGTGCAATGTACCTTGAATAGCAGTATTGGTGATATTTTTTTTTTTGGTCTCTTCGTGAATATTTTCGTATTTTATGGAATTGGACGGTCATGTGCTCAGGCTATCTGTGTCGCATATCCAAATGTATGGTAGTTATTATATGTTTAAGGTGTACGCTATCGCTTTTGGTCTCACAAACCTTCGATAATCATTTCAACCAATCTCAGTAATCGTCATGACACCCTAATAAAAACATCGCGCAAATTAACACTCCGCTCTCCCCCGTTCTCCGTGAGAGCAGATGCTGCAGTGCTCAGTGAAGAGCGAGGAGGACAATGTGTTCGACATCGACTGCGGCATCGCCGGCACCCGCGCCGTCCTGCCCAAGTCGGCCCTCGGTGCCGACCCGCCCGCGCTCGGTGAGAATTGAGAAACGGCAATCATTGTAATATCATTGTAATCATTGTAATTGAGTGCCTAACTAGTGCTTATGGAGATGTGATTTCGATAGGTAGGTAGTTGGACGCTGCTACTTGTACGTGGGATTTTTTGGCATTGTAACGTGTGAGATGTATTCCTAGGGGAAGGGGTGGGGTTACCACTGGAACTACTACACATAAGCGTCTGTCCGCCTGCCACATCTGACCTCTCTCGTGTCTCGCCGCCGCCAGTGGCCGGCCAGGTGCTCTGGTGTCTGGTGGACTCTGTCCGCGCGGGGGACGGGCTCCACACCCTCACCCTGTCTGCCGACCCGGCGCGGCTGAACGGAGCTGAGCCCAGCGCCGAGTGTGGCCTCACGAGGCAGACGCTGCTGCCCGGCATGAGGCTGCCCATCACCGTGGCCAAGGTGCGAGACAGGTGGTGCTGGCTAGGCATTGACAGGGGTGGATAGCCTGGGTGGACTAGCTAGGAAATGGGCTGTATAGGATGAAGGAAAACCTGGGGCCTAGGTGACAGTAGCGCGACAGTAAAGGTCAATAACAGGATAAATTATTTATGTCAAGTTTCGTTTTCTGAATCGCCTGTCCTTGGCGTACTCGTATTATGATTATGACGTAAATTTTCGTAAAGATGACTAAGATCTCGAGTCTGGCGCTGTTTGTGGCTTATCTTCATCCTGTCCATCTTTTGTCGTTTTAGCCATCAATTCTTTTCGCGATGTCCACTACAAGCTTTCTTCTACGGCATGCAGTTCCTACTTCTCCACCTCTCATTGTCATCTCATCACCACCCTGTGTACCATGCAGGTACTACCAGGAGGACTGCAGGTGCGACTTCCATTCGGCGTCACCGGACTCATTTACAAAACCCAGCTGGACGAGCCGGCGGACTGTCCGGACGACTACAACCCCGGCGCGGCGGCGCACGCGCGCATTCTCTACACCCTACCGGTACTGCGGCGCGTCTACCTGAGCCTCCGTCCGGCCGTGTGCCGCCTACCTGCCACCGAACCCGACACGGACCTTCTGACTGAATCGGCCGGGGAGCGGCTGTCGGCCCAGGTGCTCGACTCGGACCAGCACGGTGTACGAATGGTGCTGGGTGACGGCGAAGAAGGAGGCGCCGTGGCGTATGCGCCCGTGTGGCACGCGCGACGAGTGGGCGCCGGCCGCTGGCAGAGAGGCGAGAAGGCTTCCTGTACGCTGCTGGCCTATGATGCCATGGATGAGGTGTACATCGCATCCATGAAAGGGTGAGTAGGAATGGGACGGTTGTATGCGGCGCTCGAGGTTGACTGCGTTGAGCTGCTAATTAATAGGATAGAAATGAGTTAAATTCGAGATTTGCTAGGATTCGACGATTGCCTTTCTTTATTTCAATGGACTCGCTATTATTTACCACGGTCTTCGGCGAAATGTGTTTGCTGCAAGAAGCCATTTGTTGGCTTTTGTGTCTCGATTGTCTGTCACACCACTTACCAAACTATGGCGTTTACTTGGAGTGCATACTGTTTCATCGGGACACAGTTGTTCATGCTCTGTGTACGCCGGTGTAAGGAATCGTATCGCTCTCCTTACCGCTCTTCCCTTCTGTCTCAGCGGCAAGGACGCGCCGAAGCAGGCGCCCAGTCTGGAGGTGGGCGCCAAGGTCACGTGTCGAGTGAAGGAGCTGCTGGACCAGGGCTGCAAGGTGGAGCTCGACGGCGGGGTGTTTGGCTTCATACCCAACCACCACCTGACCAATGTGCCCGTCAAAAACCTGCAGACCATGTTTCCAGTGGGAAAGAAGCTCAAATGCAAGGTAATTGATTGCGCTGTATGCCATGTAATATGCTCCACGTAAGTATGTTCGATCTGCATTGGTGTTTACTTTTATATGTGGATGTGGAAATATTCTGATTGTCTCTCTTTCATATGTCGTAATTTTTGGGCTTTATGCGGCTAGGCTGTGCTGAGCTTCGGCCTAATGGACGGTGCTTCAAAACGCTTATTTTTTATACTCATTTCGGATCTCTTGCGTGAGACTGAAGACTCACGCATAACCCATTGGCCGTTCCTGTGCCCAGGTGATCCACTCGGACCCGGAGCGGCGCCGACTGGTCCTCACCCATAACGCTCGGCTGGTCAACACGGGCATCGGCCTGGCGGCGGACTCCGACCAGCTCAAAAGGGGCAGCACACACCACTGGATCGTCACCAAGGTGAACACGGCCGAACTGGGCCCTAGTTACTCTACTGGGCTTACCAGTTTAGGGAACGTCCACTTCGCGGACTTTGGAATATGCAGTTGTGATGCATGTTGCGTTCCTTTCATTCAGGTGTTAGCAGGTGGTGATGTAATAAGTAAGTAAGGTAAGGTAAGGTGAGACGCGGAAAGACGGGCCCTGGCTAGGTGGGGTAAGAGGTCCGTGGTATCATTCGCATCAAGCTGTGGTTAGCTTGGCTCCCATGTTTACATGATACTGCCATCCGCTCAGATATTAAACGTGAGCTGCAAACTACGAGTGAAATTGGAGTGAATATTACCGGTGTCAAGGATATTAAGTTCGCTGAAGAATCAGGAAGGGATGTGCTAGCATCGACGTATTTACATCGTAAAACTGGACATTAATTACACATAATTGCAGTAAACGTGGGACGTAATGGCTGCAACACACACCGGAATGGCTATTGTAACTTGTTCTCTTGACCTTTGCTTGGGTTATTTCTAGCATTTTTACATGTAAAGTCAGGTCTTACTGAATTTTTCATTAAAATACGAAACTTATACAGCTCTGTTGAAAACCTTGATATGGCTTGCGTCTCGATGCTAATTAGCGAGCTCTTCCAGCGCCGGTACATTCCCCGCCTACTGACATCGCGGATATCCTGGCTGACCGGCTGACATCCGTGCTTCAAGCTCCGACTCACCACCCAGCTACCCCTACCCATCTGCCTCATCTGCCTTGACCTGTCTCCCACGGCTGTTGACCTCCCCGCCGCTCCATCTGACCCACCGCTGTGACCCGCCGTGACCCGTCTTTCACAGCTGTTGAGTGTTAGCCTTACTGCTGACCTGCCGTGACCCAATGTGACCTGTGTCCCAGGTGCTGGAGCGAGGTCTGATCATGACAGGCTACTCGGATCTCAGCGGATTCGTTCCGGCCGCGTTCGCCGGCTCCGCGCTCGACGACTTCTTCCCCGGACAGATTGTACAGTGTTCGGTGAGTGCTGGTGTTGGGAGGACACTCCGGGTACTTACACGCACACGGTAGCGGGCGGGGGGGGGGGGGGGGGGCTGGTCGATGATGTGGCAATAAGTCGCAATGGGTGCGCTTTGCCTAGTCGATTCGACCGTACACTATTTTTTACGGCGTTGTTTCAATGCAATCCGGCTGAGTGACTTTGCATATTTTCCTTTTTCATATTTCAGTCATGTATCATCAGATCAGATCAGATTTTTCTCGGGGTGTTAGCTTTGCAACGCCACCCCATCCGTATTATCTTCGTCTGATATTTTATCGATTCTTGTGGTCTTCCTCTTTGGCGTTCATTTGTTATTTCTACATCTCCATCATTGATATCATTTACGTATATTTTATATCTTTCGTGTTAAGTGCATTAAAACCTTCCTCACGTTCTAATTTGTCTCATCGTCCCCCTTCCTCAGCGATGTGTTTGATCTGACCCACCCCCTCCCTGTGTCTACCTCAGGTACACAAGGTGCGCCAGCCGTCGGCTGATGGTGGTGGTGACCGTCGGGTGACGCTGTGCCCGGTCCGCGAGGCCGGCCAGCAGCCCTGGTGCGGCCGAGTGTGCACCGCCCGGGTGACGGGACGCGCCGCCGACCGGCTCCTGGTGATCACCGAGGACGGTCAGCGCGCCGAGCTGCCCGCAGGACACCTCACCGATGTACCGGAGCACGCCGCCGCGCAACTCGCCAGGTGAGGACGGTCAGCGGGGAGGGCACGACTCACCAGGTGAGAGCGACACTGCGGGGAGGGCACGACTCACCAGGTGAGAGCGACAGTGGGGAGGGCACGACTCGCCAGGTGAGAGCGACAGTGGGGAGGGCACGACTCACCAGGTGAGGACGGTCAGCGGGGAGGGCACGACTCACCAGGTGAGAGCGACAGTGGGGAGGGCACGACTCACCAGGTGAGAGCGACAGTGGGGAGGGCACGACTCACCAGGTGAGAGCGACAGTGGGGAGGGCACGGGTGGATCCGAGGACGGGAGGGGTGGGGAGGGAGGTCATCGAACGGAAAATGAGCCTGGTCCGAGATGTCAGTCTTGCTGCTGACTTTGGATGGACTTATTATTTAAATCCTAAAAAGGAACTCGCAAGCACAGACTGCAGCCCTTCGCCTACTTTGCAGTGCTGTGAAGGATGTAATGTTTTGCGTGGTTTTGCGGAAGTCACAAGACTGATAGGAACTGAAACCTACTTTGAACGAGTTGTTTGTCTACTTGTCTGATGAGAAAATGTTTGTTCGTGTTTTCAGGTATAAAACCGGCGACGAGATTGAAGTCGTCGGGCTGGTCGCCGTGGGAAAGAAACTTGTCGTCTCTGCCAAGCCTCTGTTTTTGGAGTATGTTAAAAACAAGGTAAGCTGCCTCTGTCCGAGTTTCATCTGACTCCTGTTGAAATTCCGTCAGAAATACACAATGCAAGACGAAGCAATTACATGTTATTGCCAGTGTCAATTCATGCTTTTCGGTTATGGAGGCACTGGGGTGTCATCACCAGTTTTTCGAATTTCGCGTCATGGTCCACTTATCTGACAAGCAACACCCACGCCCGAATTCAACCATCGTCCATCAAAGTCCAAACGGCCGGAGCGTTACCCTCGTGTTTGAGTCACTGTTTTAATGTACCCGTGTTCCACCTGTGTTGGCGATCTTCCTCTGCCACTGGCTGACGTGCCCCCTGGCTGACGCGCCTTTTCCCTGCTCTGCAGCGTTACCCGAGCTCTGCTGAGGAGGTGGTGGCCGGTGTGCGGGTGCCCGGCTCGGTGATCCACTCGGACGAGCGAGGCGTGGTGGTGGCCTTCCCGAGCCCCTATCCGGCGGGGACCTACCGGCTGAGACTCCAGGTTAGTATTGAATCTTCAGTCCGTACCCGTCAGTCCTTACACGGCCGGCACCTACCGACTGAGGCTACAGGCCGTTAGTGTGTAACCCCGTACCCGGCGAGTACCTATGTACCGACTATGGCTGTAGGTTAGTCCGTTACCCCGTACGCGACTGGCACCTATCACATGAGACTTCTGGTTACTACTGATCCGTCAGTCTGTACACCGTCCGTACCCGGCCGGTACCTACCGATTTCCGAGTTCCGACTTAAGCTTAGCGTCGCTACAATGTTGCCTTTCGATAGATGTAACGATTTCTGCCTTCTGACCCGCGCTAGGCGCTCGTCTGCTGGCCGTCGGACGATCTGTCTGCTGACCGTTTGGCGCTGTTTACTATCGCCTCCAGGCCCTGTGTGACGGCTGGCAGCCGGACATGTCCTCTCTGACCGGCCTCGAACACCGCACCATCATGCTGGAGGTGATGCCGGCGCCGGCCGACAGCGAGTCCACCTTCGTCAGGCTCTCCGGCAGGATCAACTACCGGGAGGAGCAGGTGAGGCCGGGCTGAGACACGCCGCTCGGCAGACTGCCAGATGTGACTGGCGTATTTATACGGTGGTGGTTAGGATGCCCGAAGTCCGAAGTAACATTGATAATCTCCTTCGTACTTGAAAATATTAATTGACAGCCTCTGACTCTCGCCATCTAAGCTGCATTGTGACTATTCATCGTTGTGACTAAGAACTTAAAACTGACAACAAACAACAATGGAAGGTTCGAATTTCAAAAGAGGCATACATGCTGTTGAAGCACGTGCCCTTTGGCTGCGAGTTCTAGGTTCTTACCATATATTGCGCTCGCCTGATTAAGACTTTTGACTCGACAGCAGTCCTGCTCGCCTCCCGTCTAACGTCTCCGTCTGTCTACCCCAGGGCGGCTCGGTGTACCTGCGCCGGTGTCTGCGCGAGCTCTCGGAGCTGGTGCCTCCGTCACCGGCCGCCGGGGACGCGGTCACCGGGCAGGTGATGACCTCTGACCCGGCCGGGGTCACGGTGCGCCTGCCGGACGGCCGGGTGGGCGCTCTGCCCGGCGGAGAGGCTCGCGCGGTCGGTGACACGGTCACGGCCACAGTGCTGCAGGTCACCCCGGCCGGCCACCTCAGTCTGGCGGCCGGCGAGCGGATACTGCCCGCGGCGGCGCAGGTCAGTAGTGGGCTCTGATGGGGCATTCCACGTCAAATCGAACAAAAATCGGCTGTTTTGCACCTTACCATCAGCGATTTCATTATAAATTTGTGAGCGAGTTCCTGTGTGGCCCCGGACATAACATTGATGTTTTTTGCACATTCTGACCACAGGTCTTCTAAATATCGGGCATCAAATTTTTACAAAATGTTGCATCTTTATATTTTTGAACGACCATAACTTTGGTTGTACTTGTTTGATTTGAATGAAATAAACCTTACTGTTTAGGTAATTTCTTAAGCATTTGTTTAGAATTGCACCTACTTAAATATATGACCTTGAAATTTGCTTAACTCTGTTCTTAAGCACAAATATTGAAATAGCAAAAAACACGTCACCTTCGATTTGGCTCATTTTCATATATTTTATTGCCTACCATATTCTTAACAACCTGTGAAAAAATTAGAGTGGGCCATTCATAAGTTTTGAAGAAAATTGCACATATGCAAACGTATGTTAGCACGCGCAGGGGAGGGGGCAGAGCGAATTTCGCCCACCCCTCCTGTTTTTCGCCAATATCTCATAAGATTAATGCGAAATTAATTATGGCTACCTGTCAAGAATTGAATTGGACATCTCATCGTGCAAGCAATAAGAAAATCGGTTCACAACTGTTCTAGTAATAGCGGTGTAAAGTGGTCGCCCTGTCGCCGCAGCGACGCGGCGACTCGGCAGCCGGCGCCGACCGCTACGCGCCGCCTGAATTGTAGACTGTGCCGGGACGGAACGGAACGGTTCCGTCTTTACATCGCGCTCCCTACCGCTGATTACGTTCGATTCGCGTCAAATTTTGTGAGAAGACTAAGAAATGTACAGGCAATCTTATGGTGAAAGAATTTTGAAAATCGGTTGGTAAACAATTGAAATATGAACGTGTAAACACAAAATTGTGATTGCTGCGTTTCCCGCATCGGCCGAGCCCGCCTCAGCCAGCGACATGTTACTCTTAGCAGGCCTCTAACTGCCATATTTATTATTGGATTAACTAGAAATTCCCCATACATACTAAAAAATGTATGTTCTTTCGTATAGTGAAGATCAAAAGACGTGAAGATATCGTTGCGTGATAATGTTTTCGTTGAATTTACTTCATGATGCATTTTCACACGGCTCAAAATTCACCGCAAAATACCGTTTGCCTGAGACACTTTTACTATGGAACGTGAATGCTTGACTACGATGACTATGCATTTCCATTCTCGCAGAGTTTGGGATATCACTAATTAGCAATCATTCATTTCAGAAAGTGTACACAAGCAAGCATGTCTTGACTCTGTCTTTCAAGGTCACGCGCGGTTGCGTGATGTTGATGCATGAAAATGGCGTTTGCCGCGAAAGTTATGAATGGCCCACTCCAATTTTTTCACAGATGATTAGGAACATTGTGACGGACATAATATGTAAAAATTACCCAAATCGATGGTGACGTGTTTTTTGCTATTTGAATTTTTCTGTTTTAATTCAAGGTCAAATGCATTTCAAGGTCACTTCAATTTAATTTTATAATTAAAAAGCAAAGCCTTATCAATTGCCTATAAGACCCTGTTAATATCATTTTGATACCAGAAAAGGAACCAGAGTTATAGCCATTCAAAAAATTGATGTGTGGCATTTTTCGCTATATTCGATGACCTATATCTCAGCGATACGTTATCAAATTTTGAAAATATTATACGTAACTCAGTTTTGAACCATGCCCAGTCTGCCTACAAATTTTCAGAAAAATCGAAGGGGATGACGGATTTCGGTGTTTGATTTGACGTGGAATGCCCCTGATGCGAGTTTGAGACCTGAATTAAAACATTATTCAGCCTTCAAAGGTCTGGTGCTGTTTTTCGGACACAAAATAATTTAGTTGGCTGGGTTTTGTGTGCACCATCGCAGGCTGATGTTTGTTTAGTACTATTATTTGGAGTGGCACAGGTGCATTTACTGGCGACCCTGGCTCTATTTAGTGCCAACCAAAAACCATAATTCGTTTAGAAGACCGGAAGATATTATCATGCTCACAGTTTTATTTTCCATTTACCGTCTATGAGATGTTCAATTGGTTATCTCTGATACACATTTTCTCTTATATTTATTTTCTTATTTGTCACTGTAATTGTACTTCTGACTCCACATTTAGCCGCTGTTGCCGCCTCCGGTCTCCGTCTGCCCGTGCCACAGCAGTCGTGGCCGGTGGCTGTCTGATTGTGTTAGTTGTATCCGAGCGCTGCATATTTGACGAGCTGTGCCACTGTGCTACTGTTAGCCGTCAGTCGCGCAATGCTGGTGGTCGTGGTTATCAGGTCGTTCTGACCCGGCCCGAGGCTATAGCTGTTGCTAACGGAGATTGAAATGTGCTACGTTTCATTACTTATTGTCAGTTTCTTAGGGGGCTCTATCATTATTTGTTTGTTTGTTTTGTTGGGTTAGGCCCTTTCGGTCCAATGAGACCATTTCAGAGCCGGGAGGATGATAGGATATAGGGGGAGACATTGGTCTGGGCAGGTACCCTAGTGAGTCACCGGGGCTGAGCCCGTCCAGAGGACAGGCCAACCAGCCCCAAGGTACTCACTACTCACTGCACCCGGCTACGGGGTGCGCTCCCTCGGGAGCAGCGGTGCCGCTCCAAGGGAGCAGCCCGCATGAGATAAAGTTGCCTGTCCAGCCCGGAGGGGGTTGCGGCGTGGAGAAGGATTTCTGTATCCTGAGGATAGAAGCACGGAACGGTCGCTCTATCATTACCAGCCTGCCAAGTGTCATTGCCCGGCGGTTTCCTCTTTACTTCTTCCGACAGACTGAATGATTTATTTCATTGATCATATATATCATTTTGATACCCCAGCGCACCCCCCTAAAAAACATTTTTAAGGTAAATCCGTTCGGCTTACCAGTCACCACACCGTCATCTCTCTGTCTGCTCCACAGGCCGGCGTCACGGTGGGCCATCGGTACACTGCCCGCGTGCTGGCAGCTCCGGCCGCCGGGTACCTTCTGACGGCGCTACTGCAGCCGCCGGCGCCGCCGCGGCTGGTGCAGCTGCCGGCACGGCTCGGCCTCAATGACCTGACGGTGGGCCCGGCGCGACCCCAGCCAGGAGACACTCTCAACGTGCTCGTCAAAAGGTGTGCCATCCTGACGGGAGAATGCAGGTGCTGAAAGGTGGAAATTCGGCACTCGCTTTTAAACATTTCTTGAGACATTATATTCAGCATGCTGAATGCCTGGCTTTTCACTGTGAATTTTCGGGTGCACCCATCGCTACCGTATGATGTGTCGATACGTTGCCTCGCCTCACTAACCCTCCTCCCCGATGCTTTGTTCCAGCTGTGAGGACGGCGTCATTGTCGGTATCGACTGCGACCGGAGGAACTTACGTGACGGCGACGGAAAACAGACCACCAAGGACCGACCGCGCGACAAAAATTGGCAAAAGAGGAACCGCTCCGGGCCCGGCGCGCGGCCGTCCCCGCGCCGTCCCCAGAGCGCCACCGCCATCAGCTACAGCCGGTTCTCGCTGCAGGACGACAGCTAGTCCGTGGACATGCTGCGTGGAGGGACGGGCTGGGTGTCATGACAATATACGGCCGATCGGGGCTAGTCAGTACTCTGGTGTTTGTTACTGCCGCTGGGTGGGGTGGGCGAGGAGAAAGATGACATGGGGATATGATCGTCGTGAATATTATTCGTTTTCGTAAATGGCGAAAATGTGGGGATGTTTCTTCTGTATTTGGGAAGAACTGGATTTTCGCAATCCATATGTATCTGGACTTTGGACTTCAAGACCCGTTGGGCTCTTGCCAGTATTTTTATATCGTCGGGCTATCGGTAATTGGTTAGTTATCGAACAATACCTTCTTATAAATGTTGATAGTAAGAGGTATTTTAATCTATTAAACTTCTAAACAGGTACTTTCGCACACCTAGAGCTGACGCCTACTGCATGCCGAGCATCTCTGTGACGATTTGTAATGAACCCGATAAATTTGGTACAGCTGCAGGCGGCGACGTGGCACTGAGAAGACCATCTTCGGTCGCTTGCTCGCCTTGACAGCAGCTGAGTAAGAGTAAGATCTTGAGTGAGACGCGCATCCATGTCGTCTCAGAGCACAGCATTCTCCTAAGCCCGTCGCGGCGGACTGCTTTATTGCGGACGAGTGGCTAATGGCTATGTGACCGGACGACGTGGAAAAGCATACAGGATGCAACAAATGGCAAGTGGGCGTACATTTTTATGCATATGGCCATTCTGTAAGCTATCGCAATGACAGATAACGCTTGCATTTCGAAAGATTGGAAATCTCGAATTAGTTTTCAACTTTAGCTCTCTTGGGTTATAGCGGGGTAGGGGGAAATCGCGTGTTTTGCATACCTCTAATATGGAAGCAATTTTCCTCGACTTGGCAGCCTTAGTATAATATCACCACAATATGACGTATATAACGAATACTTGCATTTAGAGTTTGAAACAAAAAGCGAATGATTGTTTTCATTTATTATTATTTTACAAATCTAATTAAACCAGTGCCAAAGTTCAGGTGCAAAACTGCTAAAAAAGGGATAACAGTTCTCAAATTTATATGACGTCATTAGGCATAAAAAGCTTCCGCCATCGCAAAACATCAGTTCCTGGATTTAGCCATAACCTTGAATCAATGCAGATATCTTTGTTTGCAGTGAGCGGAGCTCCTCGGTGGATTTTGTGAGCGATTTTGTTGGATGCGGTTGGTGGAAGTGTTCTGATATATTTCATTTTGTTTCTTACATTCTTTTACCGAATCATTGCAAGAATAGCATTTGTGATTGGTGTGGAGGGTGTGGAGTGTTGTGGCATACGGTTGAGACGCCTGAGGAATCAGAATCAGCATAAAAGGTGTCATGTCACCGCATTGGCATCCTCATCATAATATATAATTGTTAATAGAGTTATCCTGGATCGGTGTTGTGTAGTGAACTAGAAGAAACATACTCAAGAAATGAGGCATGGAAATGCAGCTTGTGCTTTCAAAACAGCCCTGCTTATGCTGGCCTGTGTCATCATCCAAGCAGGTCAGTCCACTGACAGTTTCTTTTCAGGTATAAGGATATTTCTCAGAAATCAGGTGCTTGATTGGCACCAGCAGATTTTAGGAGCATGACCAGTTAGAGAATGTGGTAGTTTGAGGCCACAAAAGCTATACCATTTTTGTTTGCAGAGATATGTCGGACTTTTGCCCTGCCTCCTTCTCTATCTGAATCTTGCCGATTTTCACAGCGTGACAGCTGTTTTTAAAGTAATTCAACTATGCTTGTTTTTTAAGTAATTCGACTACCTATGCTGTTTAAGCTTTCAATCAAATGTTAAAGACTCAAAATGATAAGCTTTCCCTACATGTAATCCTGATGCTTTAGGCATCAATGGTTTGCCTACAATCTTGAACTTCACTAGCCATTTATTTCAATTTCAGTTTATATATTTCAGATGAGAGTTTCACATAGGTCCTTCATCAAGTCATCATCATTGATGTAAGCATCATGTGTGTCTTGGCTGAGGACCTGTTTGGATAAGCACATATCACCAACAATATCATGTTCCAAGACAGCTGTCTAGTGCCATGTTCATTGTTCACTTCCATTCATCCTACTAGCTTATGGCAATTCACATGAGCTTTATCTGATAACATACTGATTCAGAAAATATATGATAGTGAAGGGAAATGCGTAGGGTGCACACCTGAGTGTGAGTCAGAACTGATAAGTACTTAATACATTCATAGCATTTGTTTTCAGGAATGGTACTTTTTACCTCAATGCTGTTTTTAGGGGCCTACCTAACTACCTTTTACCCTTGATGGAGTTTTTATTTTAGTGTCAAAGCCCCAAGTGCCTTAAAACATATCTCAATGCAGTGACTGCTGATGTGGCAAGACATGCATTTGCCAACAGCACTGACATGGTATCATTTTTAGGAAGAACTCTTCTGCATGTTGCATACTGTTGCATAACTTTTGCAGCTGGATAAGCCTAAGATGCTTATGTAAACAAGGGCAAATTTATTTGAAATTAAATTGAATATTTTGAAATGCAAGAATCACATTTTGTTTCTTATTTAAGTAATGACATTGTGATTTGTGCTGCTGTTAGTCGATTAGATATACCTTTAGTTACATGATTACATTGTCAGGAAGTCAACAACTAACCTTAGACCTTAATGTTGTTGGATAACTCCATTGTTTTTGCCTTCTGTTGGTATTTGATCATGATTGTTGGTCTGAAGATTTTAAGAAGATGAAAATTTTGTTGGTCTGGATCATTTTAACATTGGCCTGGCCTTGGCCTGAATCAGCTACTGAAACAGTCTGAACAATGATTCCTCTCAAGTTGGCAGGTCTTTTGTTATCATAGGATGCCTACCTGGTTTTATTAAACAGGAGCTGCTCATTGTCATTTCTTGTTTCTTCTTATGTGTTTTGGTTGAAGTGATGCCTGTGGATGCTTTTTAGCCTTTCCCAGCATCCCTGATCTAGATTTACAGGAGTTTAGCTTAGCAATGGTTGAACAATAATAAGTGAGAATGCAACAGAAGTGTGAGAATGTAAATGGTGGTGTCCTGATGCCAGGGATTTAACTCATCACAGAAGTTCCATAGAGCAGCAATGGTGTTTGGGTCCCAGTAACTCGCATACGAGTGAAAAGTCCTTTAGATTGGTCGTTAATGCTCTCTTAGATAAAAGAGGAAAGTGCGTGCACATTGACTTGCACTTTCACGTGGTGCGGCCGGTATTTGCTGCGCGAGTCTGCCGGCGTATTCGTGCTGCTCTCTGAGCCAAGGCCGTTCCGATTTCGTCGTCACGACCCAGTGAAGACGGAGAATGCTCGTCGGTTATTGTTGAGCCATCGGCAGCCGTTCTTCCCCGGCTATTGTGTGTGGCGGCTGGCGGGCTGGGCAGCCACAGACCCCCTCCGTGGCGCTCTGTAATGGATGATTTCGGCTCCTCTCTCGGACTCTCGTGGAGAGAAAGGAATCCAACACGCCCACGCTGTCGCAGCTGGGTGGTTGGGAGGCGTGCTTTTCTGTCCTGTACTAGTCTGTTCGTCCCTACCCTGTCACAGCACGAGCCCAGGCCAGCCCTACCGGGAACAATGCTACGGCTGTCTTGCACCGACTTTGCTGTCAGCTGACAGCTCGTCTTGCAAAAGCCGTGTAAGCTGTCGGAACTCGGCACAGATCTAGCGCTGAACGTTTATCCTTCCTTCGATTGTCTAGTTATTTTTGTGTTGGTGCGCGGAATGAAATTCCGCCAACTTTTGCTTTCTCCTTCATGTCTGCATTACTGCATCAAGCAGCATTAAGCAGCTATTAACCTTGCGGAGAGCGTGCTGCTGCACGCGGGTCAATGTCAGCGCGTTCCGGCCGGGCAGCAGTGCGTGTCCTCCTCTCTGGAGGTTTCGCGGGCGGCCTTCCGAGATGGCTGCGCTGCTGTGCAGGTCAGACCGGGCTGGTCTGCAGCGGCCGAGGTGCGCGGCGGCACTGAGATGGCACAGATAGGACGCGGAGGAGTGCCGAGTGGGTGCGGGCGGGCAGAGCGGCGCGCAGACGAGATTCGTCAGTCTGTCACCGCGTGCAGAATTCTGATCAATGAACAGGTGGTGACGGAGCGCAGTGTTGTTTACAACGTGGAAAGGGACAGTCGTATGAAAGCTCGGGTGGACAGTCGCATCTGTTTGTTGCAATGATTGTCGGTTGACAGTGTCAGTTGGTTGTGCTCACCTGTGCGCTTGCATGTTATCCCCATCACATGCAGTTGTCATTGTCACAGCATGACGTCCGGCTGTTACAACTGGGACATTACCTACCTATAACGGACCTGTTAGCCTCGTGCTGGTCTGTTTGTGTAGGTAACCCGTGAGACTCGGCCGTCGGTCGCTCAGCTTTGAGTGATAAATGCTCTCTGAATTTGGTTCCAGCTCTGAGCAGGCAAACAGTCGGCTATGAAACGTATGACATGCCTCGGTGGACGTTTCACACAGCTGATAAACGTGCCAGAAATGAACATGTAGCACACTGGGTTGCCCTGATTTGAAACTCATTTTCCCTGGCTGCTCTCAGCAACTCGAGTTAATTTAAACTTTACCCGCAAGAGTTTGTCTCCTATTGTATCGTCCTTCCCACCGTATTAGCGGCCATAAAGCCTACAAGGCAAGGTATTCACATGCTTGTTATAGCCCTGAAATAGCTCATGACACCCATGTGACCCTTGTACTACCGTCCCTGTCCGCCACACCGCCAGTGTGCCAGTGTGCCGCCACCACCGGGCCACTGACCAGGTTACCGCCCTGCCGGCCCACTCGCGGCGGCAGCAGCTAATTGCGGGCTCGAACTTCGTGCTCGCCGGTTGGCGGCTGATGCATTGCTTGTTTTCAGTGCTTTATTTCATTATGTATTTCTCTCCCGGGGACGCGCCGAGTCTGTCCGCAGAGCAGCGACCGTCTGTTCTTCGACGGCCTGGTTTCATGCTCATTGCTCAAGGGAGGATTGTGGTCGGTTGCACTTAGCTTTACGGGAAAGTTATTGAAAAATTGGCTGGGATCCTTCTTATGTAGTTGGCTTTATTATGGGGCATGATTTCACTGGGAGTACTGTACAGCCTTTGTTGCTGTTTTCATTGGCTCAGGCGTGTAACTTACATCCTGTCTGACTGTCTGATATTTCAACAATATTTGTTGTTGATGTCATTCAGCATCAAGCCATCAGACCATCTGGCCGTTTATGACGCATGCCCTGGCAACGAGGGTGGGATGTGGGCCGCCTGAGCTCTCCGCTCCGTGGCTGGGTCGGGCCGCCGGGCCACTAATGGGTCTGACCTCCGGCGGCCCGCCTCTCGGTACAGCTCCCCCTTCCGTCCCGTCGGAGCGTGGTGCCGCCCGCGAGCCTGTCTCTCTCAGTGCAGACCCGTCCGTCAATCGGACCGTGGGGCCGCCCGTGGGCCTGTCTCTCTCAGTGCAGACCCGTCCGTCCGTCGGAGCGTGGTGCGGCCTTCCTCTCGGTACAGAGCCGTCGCGTCCATCCCGTCGGACCGTGGGTGCAGCAGAGAATAGGAGAGGAGAGCAGAGAACAGCAGAGAGCATACTCTCTCTGAGTTGGTGCTTGCGATCTGAAACTGCCGAGAACAGCTAAAGGACTAAAACTGCTATAAGTGCTGTACATAGTAATGGGACGTTGTATGAATCTGGCCCCTCGGTAGCGCGTGTGTCCGGCAGCGCAGAGCGGCGCAGCTGTATGTGGGGCGCAGCTGTTGCCGGCTGCGACCCTCCTCTCTGATTCGGACCACATGGCACGCATACCTGGAACGCAGTCCCCCTAGCCTGCCCGGTATGCAGCTCTGCCTTTGTGAATAAAGCAAAATAGAATGGGACCTAACGGTGATGAAGTTCAGTGTTGTGACGGTCCTTCATGCATGAAGGAGTCAGTCAGTATTTAGCTGGGTCCGCGAGTTACCCCAGTACCGGAAGCGATGGGCCGTACCCCTGCGCCGGCCCTGATCCGCCGGCCCCTCCCGGCCACCCCGCGGTCATGTCACGGCTGCTGGCGTCTGGGCGTGACCGACCAGTCTCCGTGACCATCAAGGCTGTCAGCCGTGCGCAGCTGCCGCCGCCACTTCCGTCACCCGGCCGAGCCGTGTGCGGAACCCGTGCCCGGACCCTCTGTCCCCCCGGCCCGGCACTCTGCCCCGTCCCGACCCGCCGTGACCGGTCCCAACACGCCAGTCGATAGGCCGTGAGTCGAGTGTTGAGTGTGCGCCCGCGACGTGACTGGGCCTTGGCTGTCGAGTGGCTAACGTGATTCGAGCGGCGCCCGACGCGGTCGTGTTTCCGCTGTCGCGCCGCCGCGGGGCCGGTGACGAGGCAATGACATCACAATGAGGCGAACGGACGGCGATTGCAGTGGCGTCTGACGTCGGCTGCGGCTGGCTGTGACTGCCGCCGCCACCCGCCCTGTGTTGGACGGGATCGGCACGGGCGCGGACCAGGACGGCTGCGTTAGGGGCGCTGTGGCCTGTGTATGGACG